TAGAATCGAATTTCCGAAAAAGAATGGAACTCTACTTTAGTTTCTGGAATATAGGAATTCATATCTTATCAATTGTTATGATCCGCAAACGTAGATAAAGAATAGTTCTGATTTTTTTTGGAATCTGATAGTGTCACAACAAATATTCACCTCTGCGTTTTATTATCTTTACCACTTCTTGTAGCTCTTCGTCAAGTTTTTTATTATGCATGATTTATTTAATTAACATGATTTATTGAATATTTTCGATGTTGTGTATATACAGATTTATTATAATGCTGTAATTGCGCTTAATAGACCACCCATTTTTTACCGAATTTACCAATTTTAATAGCGATCTTGTTTTGTGACATCCCTGATTTATGTAACTTAATTGGATTCTATTGATGAAGACCCACCGCATAGAATTAAAGTAGTGCTGTAAATAATTGCGATTAACATAGACCGCCCAACTGTTTATGATAATTCCTAAACACCTTTCAATATTGTTACTGACATATTTTATGCACATGAACAATTTATAGTAAATTAATTAAGTATGAATTTTGAGGTTAAATAGTAAATAACATGTTAACTTGTTATTATATTCAATAATTAATACAGGGTTATGCAATTAAATAGATTCAATAACTTATATGTATATAATGAATAAAAAAGGTTCTCTTCATTCAAATTTTTTCTGAATTCTTTGCAAAAAGCTTTGAATTTTAGTGATTTACTTGTAATTGAAAATCGATTGATCACCCTTTATGTCACAACTAATCTGCCAATATATAATTACCATACAAGTACGAGAAATCCAAGCTGTTTGCATAGTTCGATGACAAAGTTCTTCTTCATTACGTGCATTACGAGTACTCATATCTTTGGATTGTGTTCCTCATTATAATGTTTTCCAACATCAATGACGAGCAAGCCCCGTAATTGTTAGAAAGTTTGCTTACCGCAAGGTGATCAAATGTACACACTTCTAGCATCAAACAAGGGACAGACATGGGGGTATCAATTACGTTTACAAGAGTTGAACGCTGCCTAAAGCCAAGCTTATTCTTCTGCTGGCGTGAGCGCGTGTATCTGTAATTTTTTGTTTTATAAAATACTTTTAATTTTTTTTTTCTGCTCAATATCTTACAGTGCTAAGCTTTCAAAGGGCTTCTTAATATTTTCTGCTTTATGTTGGAGTACTCGTACAAGACCCTTGGCTTCGAATGCCATCAGTGCAACTTTGCCGTCGTATATACCCCGACTCTCCTCTGCTGGAGCCGGTAAGTTGCTCATGCTCTGGCAGTTGGTAAGCGAATTTGATATTCCATATTTCTTATGAGTTGTAAAGTTGAGACTTTCATGTCATTTCAATTTTACACTTGAATGCTGATGCACATGCGTCCGCTGGGAATGAAGTTGAAACGAAAAATGATGATCGATACAAGCAACGATCGAATTGCGCTGTAGATCTGCTCCTCAGATCTACAGAGTGCAGATAATCCCTGCAATTCTATGCGTTGCATATTCGGTGTAGTAGGCAAAATCAAAAAGGGGGGAGATTGTGTTACTCAAGCATGGCTTGCAAGTTCGTTGTTGGGTTTATCTTTGCACTGATCTTGTTTGGCTTCCTCGAAAATTTAGAATTTTGCAACACTGCATAAATAATTTTTATTTAAATTTAATTTAATTTTAAATTTTATTCAAATATTTTTAAATATTATTTTATAAAATACAAAATGGCGTATTCAGTCTAATTAAGAGAATACAACTATCTACTCCTACATATTCATTGGTACGTTGCATTCAACTTATATAAGTGCAACCTACTGCAACTATATGTCAGATACAGATACATTTATAGGCACTGGCGAATGTATCTGTATCTGCCAATGTAGCTGCTCCCGTGTTTATGTGTTTGGTGTGCAATTTAACTATGCCACGCCACGGATAACTCATAACCACAAAACTTGCACGATCATCTTGCACTTTTGTGGTTGTAAATTTGCAATTTATTTGCGCGCGTTTTTAAGGTTTCATTCAAAATTCATAAATTTTGCAACAATAATTTTTCGAGTTCTTTTCAATGCACTCACTACGCAGATACAGATTCAGATACAGATACATGCAACAATACATATTTTAATATTTATTATAATTTTTTATTATTTTCCATATGGATGCAAATGCATTTTTAATATTGCTTCGTAGTTTTTAATATCTGAAAAATCTATGAAATTATATAAATAATTTCTATCTAATGAAAACTATGAAAATATTATGCAAGCTTATAATTCAAAGAGAACAATAATTGGTACTTGCAATCCGCGCCAGCAGTTGACATGGATTAAAAATCATGGAATATTCGGCGTCACTGACTTTCTTCACAGAATACAAAAGTAATCCATTTTATAACCGAAATAAGATTTGAAGTAATAAGTAATGAGAACTATTAACAGAAAGAATTTTAGGTTACCGAAGATATGAAAAAGTACATGTGTTTTGCAAACGAAGTGTACAACCCAAAATACAAAACTAGAATATGAAAGGCAAATGAAAGTATTATATTCGGATGTCCTATTCAATCCCTTTCTGTTGGAGAAATTGCAGCATTGTCTCACAGAGAAGTGCACTATATTTCGAATACACGAGAGGAACACTCGTCTTTCTGAACAAAAACATATTTACAGATTGTTTAAGCTGACGCATATGCAATATAATATTCCGTACGGATACATTGACGAAAATAAATGATCGCATAGTCCACAATATCAGTAACAGTGAGGCTTAAACTAGTTAAGCGCTCAGAAAAATTTTATAAAAACAATTAATATAGTATGTATATTACAGGTGTCTTAGTACAAACTTAGTACAAATTGGTAAATACGAGTATCTATGTCATAGATACATGAAGTCTACGGCAATTAAATCACTCATGAACAACTGAAAATTAGCTGCAATTAAATTAATATTAAATAAATATATATTATATTAATAATTTTATATTATATTATTATGTTGAAGCTATTTAATTCAGTGCACTGCAGCACTTTTACTCTTTCTTAAAACTCGAAATATTTTTAAAACCCCTCTTTACGCCTTGACTGGATTATTGTTTATTACTTCATCAGACTAAGCAATAATTGAACCCAGATCTGCATACCTCCCCGTTTGACCTGTAACCAATCTGAGATTCGATAACGCGGTGTTGGTGAGTCTGTGTAATTTCAGGGCTCTATACTTTATGTATTTTTTGATGGTATTAATCTTGAGGTCCCTGAGGATGTCATTCGTCCTAATGTATCATGGTACTTTGAAAAGTCTTCTCAGAGCTTGGCTATGTGCAATTTCTAGCTGGCGAATAGTAGTGTTTGAAGCTTTGCTAAACGCTACACAACCATATAGAAGTGACGGACGTTAGAAGTATTTGGTTATATATCAGCTTTCTGTACTTAGCATTGAGATTTTCATTTCTGAATGTATTATAATAAACGTTTATTAAATAAAATTTAATTTCTGAAACAAGGAAAATATTTCAGAATATTACACAGCAAATAATATTAGATATAATAATGTTATAGGTAATATAAGATATAACATATAAATCGAAAAAAATCGGAAGAAGCTAATTTCTAATAAAAGCAAGACGTTTCAATATATCTTTTCACTGTTATTTAAGAAGTAATGGAGTCGTGTGCTACTCAAACACAATAGGTCTTGTACTAAGATAAAAATACAGTCGATACAGTCTAATAAAATTTGTCGTGACGTCTCATTGACTTTTTATGAAAAATGTCACATAAAACAAAATATCATAAATGTATTTTATTGTAAGAAGTTTAGAGTCCGATGTTTTTTTATTAAATAACTTGCCAATGAACTCCGTTAAACCTTATTGATGGCTGAATCTTAAAAGCTAAAGAAAGACCGAACAAACCATCAGTTTAGCGAATATAATAATGCGCTATGAATATTGCTTGACGTATAAAAGAAGTCGATGTTTTTATACTTTATTTGGAGACCCCATATAGTACATCAATTTCTATTTTATGCCAATGAAAAAGGTAGATCGGAGTACTAATATCGGAGTACTTCATATAATATTGTTAATGAAACCACTTTGCCATGTCAATGAAAAATAAAATAATTGTCAGAAAGCAGAGTTATTACTTCCAGAAAGTTAGTTCCTAGTATGTTTCCATAAGCATTGTGGGTGGTCTGGACAATCACAAAGCAGATCTGCGGTAATTTTTTCATTTCTTGACTTCTATTGCAAATATTGCTAAAGAGAATATTGAATAATTTAGTATGATCTACTAACTGATAGTGTTCTATCATCTATCAGTATATCTGTACTATCACCTCTGTACCCATCATCTCAATGAGATCACTATCTTATTCCTTATTTAATAAGAACCATATATCGATATGCAGTGGAAACTTCTTATCTAGTATTGTGTTTTACAGGAAAATTTGAATTTACAGGATTTCTATCTGGCTAGCTGATTAGCCTTATTTAGCCTTACTTGTGTTGTATAAAATGTAGTAGAACACTTACCATTCTTTAAAAAAATCCGTTTTATATTATTACAAAGAAATTATTTATTTAATTATGTAATTATCCTTTATTTAATTTTAATTATTTTTTAATAAAAAATTATTTAAATAACACAAAATTTTTATTTAAATGCTATAAAAAATAAATTCTTAATTAATATGCCTACAACTAACTATACAAGCACTAACTAAATATTTAAAGCTAAATAAATAATACTAATAATTAAAACAACTCAAAATAATTACATATATATCATTTACGAAATTTACAACTAAAAATATCAATAATCACATATATATATATACATATATATATATCTATATATATATGTATATATACATAGTATTATAATTAAAAACATGTACAGCGTAAACATAAGTAAAAGAGTATTGAACTGATTTGTTCTGACAACATATACTTAATCTCTAGATACACTCAAAAGATAGATGCTTCATATGAAGGTTATATATATACACAGAATAATATTTATATATACATAATCTAAAAATTAATCGGAAGTTAGTTCATTATCTCTCAATTCAATCTTAAATTTACAAATTCTTTCCCTACAATAATTTGTTTTTAATATCGATTCAGTTCAATGTGCAGATAAGTCTTTTTTAATCCAACTCCTGTTCCCAGCTGATATCCAACACCAACGCCTAGTGCTCCAGCATACGTTGGTGTTGGTGTCATTTATAGCATATTCCCATATGGACGCCACACATTGCCCATATCACCAACATCTTCATCACGTTGTGTATGTGTTATTTGCTCACTAACGGGGACCTCTGGGTGTTGACTTTCCAAGTGTTGATGCTGATGTTGCGCTTGCAGTTCATGCTGCTGCTGTTGCTGACTGACATGATGATGATGTTGTTGCTGATCAGTAAGACCACTAGCACTACTTTGGCTATCTTGCAAATGTGTGCTTTGTTCATGATCAGTGGTGCCTACACCTATTTCGATACCAGACCGACTGCCACCTAGTGAACTGATCATAAGCGAATTCTCAAGTCCCAACTCCAGTTTATCACCACCGTGTAAATGTAGGTGTATTTGATTTTGGTTGACGGAATATAATTGCGGACAAATCATCATTGCAGGTCCTGTACGTGAGGGATAGTGTGCCTGTGCAGGACAACTACCGTATTGATAATTATTATAGCCATTGGACCAATTATTGTACGATGTATAGCCGGCATTTAGTGTTTCAATATCGGATTTACTTGAGCCGTAAGTCGGACTACAGATTGGTGGTGCTGGTGCGTGTGGTACTATTGCACTACTAGGAGCAACTGTCGGCGCTATGCCTGTGTGCGCGTAGTCTGTGGAAGAACAGAACGGTTGCATGTCTGTGAGCACAGTTGGTAAGTGTATGTTGGCGTGGTCGGCGAGTGCAGCGGCGTTAGTATCATAACTTGACATGCTACCGTAGTGTGAAAGTGCTGAAGGTGTATTGAATACTGGGGCAGCTGTGGGTGCTGTCGGTGGTGGAGGCAGTCCAGCGTGTAGTTGATGATGATGGTGTGGATGCTGGTGGTGATAAGTAGAGTAAGCGGTTGATGAAGTTGCTGTGCCATGCCCATAACCAGTCCAATCAGCAGCGCCCATCAGATTGTTTTCTGTTAAATAAAAAAATGTTTATTTAATTTTTTCGGGTTTTTTTTTAAATTGAACATTAATTATGAATGTATTCTATATTGTATAAGCTTATTAATTTATACTCATTTAAAATTTTGGGGAAATATTTGATGTCAGAAACATAAAAGTTATTAAAAATTTAAAACAAAATATATGTTGACAAACTCATCCCAATTTGTTGCTAAAATCCAGCTAATTGAAAAATAATTTCATATCAAAAGTCTGAAAATAAGCACATGTGGATACGCTGGAAGCTCTAATGCGAGTATATGAAGTCCTGCTGCGATATGCCAATAAATGATATTCCACAGATTGTGTAAGCGAAAGGGGTGGCATGTCTGTCAATGTAGAAAAGGGTTAAGCGAAATTCCATTCATGCAAGGACTACAATTATTTTGTGCCAAAAGCACATCAAAACATATTTTCTGGTACGCCATCAGCGTCTCAAGAAATTTCTTAATTAATTAAACAAAAATTCTTTTAATCAAAACTTAAGAAAGTATCTCGCAGGTGCTTGACAGAAACGCTGATAAACTCAAAATTAGGTAAATAATTAATCAAATTTTCAGTGACTTCATTAAGTTTGATATACAAAACAATTTCTTCACTCTAAATTAAATTTGAAAACAACAATTTATAAACATTTAAAAAATCCTTTAAACTAATTTAGCTGCAATTATTTGTTGACAACTCAATTTGCAGCAATTTGAAATAATAAAAACTTATGGGCAAAGCAAGGCAGTGAGTGCAGATACACTGCGAAAAACAACTACCAAACTGACACTTATCACATTTTAAATGTTTCAATTAGAGGAAAAATTGCAGCAACTAAATGTGCAACAACACTAACAACACTAACAACAACCAACAACACAATTAACCCTTCTGTGTATAGCGGCTTTTGTCGACCATTTAAGTCGTGCATGCCCAGTAGCCGTCGTCAGTCAGGTCTGCACTTCAGTTGCAAGCCGCTTGGCCACCACTTGGCCACCGCCACTGCTAAAGTAAATAAATTATAATGTTGCAACAGTCAGGACCGTATAATTTGCAGTGCGGTGGCATGGTGATTATTTTTACTGCAACTACGCACGCCGCGGTGCATTTCTCTACGTTCAAGTCTGGGTGTTCCGCGAGTGTAGACAAGAACAAAGCGAATTGCACCGGTCAAAACGGAGAAAAACTCAATTTTGTAAGAGAAAAACAGAAAGGTTGACTGTCAGGATATAACCTGGCAGGTTCAGTTAATTTTTTTTTTACTTTTTGTCATTAATTTAACCTTAAATTGACGTTTGATAATTGCGAAGGATTTTCTTGAATTTTCAGTTTATTTTTCTCAGGGAACGCTTACTGTTAATGATAGTCATGATTATGGTTATTTCAAGGTAATTACAGATCCTTTGCCGTAAATGTTAAAGTACAAAACCATAATTAATTATGGTTAACATTTGATGTCCTTAATTAAGAATTGTTGTGATTGAAGCATGCTGTTCGCAGACATTCAGAATTGGTAATGTCTTTATTGATATGAGATAGAGGATAAGCTGCGTGGGGACTTATTTGTATAGATTTATGATAGCCAATTAGTAGTACTTATAAGTTATATATTAAAGATCAAATACTAAATCTTATAATATCCCGTTTCTAATAGATAACAAGATATTTATGAGTTTATAAAAATTTAAACACCAGGGAATGAAATAGAGCTCAACCGACTACATAACTACAGCAATACTTGTACATAAAAACTATGGTTAGAATCGTAATTAAGCACATGAATCTTTTCAATTCAAAAAATCGGTGAAGAAATTAAAAATCAACATGTATTTGCAAGCCTCTAATTCACTCAGTTCTATTACATGCTATAGATGCAAGACATATATGATTAAAGCACATCAAGCCAGTCAGCTTTTAGCATATCAGAAAAGAGCAATTCAAAAAATTCCGATACCGATTCCGGTAGGGCATATATAAATAATGCGCTCCAAGAAAGGGGCGAAAACTTATGTTACAAGGAATGACTCGGTGACTCGGGATGGATCGGTGATATAATAGCCGATCTTAACAAAGTGAAATGGATTTTTGGCACATGAGAGAAGTCCTCTTCAAAAAATGCAGGCACCAAACCCGGTACAATAGCGAGTTTGATAATAGAGCATAAATAAAGAGTGCACCCTATGCAAGTTGGGAAGCAAACACTTAGAAGGGTATTGATTGATGGGTGTCGCTATGGCAATTTTACAAAGCAATATATCAAAGATATAATAGGCGAGCTTAGCAAAAGAAGCGTTTGGGAGTGACTGAAGATTCGTTAAATCAGATTAGGAAAAATCAAAGGGATTGGTTACGGAAACACTGGTCCACCAAAGAAAACCCCAGCAAAAATATATAGTGAAAAATGGAATATATTGGTTACGAAAGCACTAGTCTATGCTCTACCAAGTAGTTTAATACAAAGAAAAAAAGATATAGTATAGTAAACCGTAAACCGAAATAATTATTTGAGATAATAAAACATGCAATTTGTTTGAAATTAAAAAATAAAATTATTGTTTTTATTTATTTACTTTTTATATTATTTGAAGTAATGTAAAGTAAAAAAAAATATCTATAGCTCGGCAAAAAAAAAAATACTTATGTGCTTGCAAAAGAAAAAAAATTTAAAAAGAGTTAAGGTCGATACCAATATTCACAGATATTGAAGTATATATTAATTTAATAAGAAAACAAATTAAAAACTTTTTAATTTCTTAAAATTATTCTTTAAACTAAAGTTTAGATAAGGCTTGAGGCACCATTTCAGCTAACAGTCACTTTTTAAAACAAACTCAAGGAAAACGTAGGCGGACTTAAATTGGAATATAGTTTTCAAAAGCTTGACTATAACTTTTCATGGCCTATTAAAATAAACACAATTGCCAGGAAATTAGTAATATATACTATGGAAAATTTCCCATCAAATGTTTTTTAATATAAAAATCACTAATACGCATATTCATCTTTATTACAGTTCATGTGATCGCATGCAAAACGTATACCGGATATCTGCGATTTACGCTTAGTTCCTTTGAATAAATTTCCAATCTCATATTTATTTTCTTCGCGCATTCTTCTCACTGACCACAATAACTTCTTTAGGTTATTTGCCTACAGTACCAAGTAGTGTTCTCACACCATAGGTAGAAGTACTTCATGCCCTTTTTGACTCTCAACTCTTCGCACAGATATAAGTTGTCTCATCCAGCCATACTTGCTCCATTAAAGCAAATTCTGTTGAAGACTCAATTTTCACTTCGTTAAGTACGCAAATACTTTTATAACATAAATGTAGAATATAGAAACTGATTACAAAATTAAAAACAAAAAAAAATCAATTCCAATTTTCTATACAAAATGAGTGCGATTGAATGCACACACAGATACAAACACGTCCATGTAGCTCCGAAAGTTCTTTTCAGAGTTATGAAACGGAAGTTGCTGCGGTTAATCCAACACCGACAGGCTTACCACAAAATTTCGTTTTATGGGCCAAAAGATTTCATTTGCGATTCATTTTCAAAGGTTCGGACAGTTCGATATACCCTCACAGTAGTACACATACCTCGGTGTGTATGTGTTGTCTCTTAGTATTTTTGCAATTGTATTTGGAAGATCATGCGAATATCGCCTGAAAATTTGGCAAACAAATGAAAATTAATGGCAAATAGTATTCGAAAGTGTTGCTTCCGTTTGATTAACACAATGGCTCTGAAGTAGCATTTTCATATCTTACAGATCTGAGTAATTTGTGGGCTTCTTAACTTTCGGGCATGTGCTGTCAACTTTGCACAATTCGTAATTTTCGTCGATTTGTCCGAAAACGGATTCGAAGTGCGTGTCTGTCATTTTTTATTAAAACCTTTGGTTTCGGTTTCGGTTTAGTTTTAATTTTACTGTTAGTGCGTGAGTATCTGAGCTCAGCATTTGCAAAGTATCTTGGCTTTAATTAATTAGATTTCTTTTTCCTACTCGTAATTGTTGTTGCAAGTAGCGGTACTTCAATGTTTACTTAATTCAGTACGGGTTTATGAAGTACGGGTTTATGAAATCCAACATCTGTAAAACCGCATTCGGATTGATTTGCGGCTTTACGCATTTCAACTAAAAAATAAATAAAAATGTAGTGCAATTTTAATTTTAATAAAGTTTTTTTCTCTTGATCGCAGATATGAGGATCTTTTTCCAGAAATTCAAACTAAATGAATTAAAATGTATATTTTATTGACTCTTTCTCATAATTATGAGTTGCTTCTGTCACTACATAAAAACCTTTGGGATCATGGAAGAAAGAAATCCACTTCATTGAGGACTTTGTAGTGATTGACATCACAAAATCGATTATTAACGGTAGAAATATATGAAAAAATATTCTTCAGGTTTTCGGGAGCAGTATTTTATTATACTGATAATTACACTAATTAAGTTAGGCATTTTGTTATAATATTTTTTGATCAGAAACCTTTCAAAATATCAATCATAGTTTTTTATAGTCATAACAAAAGTAAATTTTCTAAAATAGCTATATATTACAAAATATAAATTAAATTGTCATATTATAATTACAAAAAAATTAATTTAAATAATTTAAGAACAACGTAATGAACATTTCACATTTCAGAAAACTCTACAGTCAACAGGGTAGTGGACCATAGAATGGCATGGAGCTAGGCTTGCCCTGTGGGAATGCGTGTCTATCAGCTCTCAAAGAAACAACATCATAACACCAGCTATGCCTATGTCCAGGGTTGGCTAGAACTAAGCTTAAGTTTCTGGGGGCCCCTTTCTTCAACACACTCGGTGATAACTCCAGCATTAGCATTGACCAGATTCCTTTATAAATGCCTTTGGCTGGTTTCTAGCTTGATCTTCTCTTTACTACCAATTATTATAAGGATGTGTGGATTCAAAGCGGCTTAAAAACACATCATCAAAACAAGATATTGCGCGTATTGATAGAAAGCGATTTTGATAGATAATTTTTCTTGTGATAAATAGACTGAATTAAAAACAAAATTGATAATTTTATGAACAACTTAATGAATAACTAATTTAGCTTAAAATATAGAAGACCTTTGTAAAATATCTAAGCCTTTTAGAACTTTGGCAAATAATAAGGTAACTAAATCAAAAGTGTGCTGTCTTTCAGATTCAAATTTCAAGATACTGTGTTCCCTGAAAAGTATTGGATAATCTATGTTATGGAATTGTATATGTATTGTATAGTCATATAGTGTGATCCATATGATCCAATCCTTTTACATCCTATGTTTTAAAAGACCCTGTGGGTTAAAAATTTTTCATAGTATGTTTATTATACTTAGCATGTTACTTAGTTGCTCAGTTTTTTAGCTAAACCTATAAGACCTTGAACTCTATAATTCTATGTGGTCTTTGTATGGACTGAAATTCATGAAGTAGTATGATGGGCTGTTATGGTCCGAGTCCTTTCATATCATACATATAAGAAGATCTTAGTTAGTTAACTTTGTATTAGGGGAAAGAAGTAGGAAGTATTAGTAGGGGAATTACTAAAATTTTTTTATTTTTTATTTATTTTTTTATTACTATTGAGTCTATACAAAATAATGAAAACTAGTTTATGTCCATATCTTTGAAAATAAATACATTTCATAGCCAAAAACCACAACATTTAAAATTAAAGTATTGAGAATAAATTCAGAAGTATCTCTCTGTGTAAGGAAAAACTAAAACTTCGGAACACTATTCCTATATTGGCTCGATTTTAAGTTTAGCTTAGAACTTTTCAAAATTGATTGACCTTTAGAAAGGTATCAAAATTTTATTTGGGAATCGTTCTGTAGAATAAGGATCTGAAAATCATGAAAATCATTTAAAGTCAAATTTATTAGAGAAGAAATTTATAAATCAAAGAATAGACTTAAAGCTCAATCAATCTTTTAAAATACTAGTTTATGATTAATTATGCAAATAAGATTAAACAATTTTAATTTTAAGTTATTTTAGAAGTTTTTCCAGAAAAAAAACTAGCAAAAATATTAATGGCTAAGCTATTTCTACTAGATAAAATGTTGTTAACCAAATTTGGTAAGATAATTTTCTGACCAATATTTTGAATCAAAAAATATTTTGATCAAATTTCCGAGAAATTTGCCGGCTTTTAAGCTGAACTTGTCCGAAACTTTTGAGGCGTTTGCTGAGCTGCTTTAAGCGCCACTTCATTAGCGCAGCTACGAGTGAATAAACGCTACAGTTTCAGATGCCACTGGCATTTCCGGTCGCTCAAATAGTATTAAAAATACGGATTTATACTTTTTCGTTAATAATTCGTAAAGATGTGTCATTTTATTAGCATATTTGGCGACTATGTGTTCACACATGCAAGCTTCAAGCAATAATTTTTCGTCATTTAGTGTGTAAGATTTTGATAAGATTTAAAATATATTTTCGAATATTGTTTGTATTTGATGTGTTAATTAACATAAATAGTTTATTGTTTATAATTTTTATTTAAATTAAATTTAAATTTCTTTTAAAATGCGTGTGAATCATTGCAATCAAGTCAGTTAATTATTTTCATTTGTCACGGTGTTTTTTTCTTTTTTTTTGGTTTTTGATAATCTTTAATTATTTATTAATATATATATATATTAATAATGCTTCAAATATTTTGTGGGCAGTTTAATTTAAAGTGTTAATTTATTAAGTAATTTGAAATTTATAACTAAGACACGCTGTTTACAATACTATCAAATAAATTAATCTTGTTTATTTTCTACCTGTATTAGTTAACCATTCATTAATCCATGAGTAGCATAACTAAAATGATTTGAAAGCTGCTCATAAGTGAAAAATTGAGTTATTAACTAAAAAATTAAGTCAACGAGATAGGAAAAAAAAGCAATCTGGAAGAACGTTAGATAGATCTGATCCATAACTCATGAATGGCACTGATACTATTTATACTGTAGATATAGGACTTCCGTCTCTAGACTGATAGGAGTTACAATGGGACTCTTTTTAAGCAATATCTCTATCAAAAGTGTAAATTTTTAGGTCTAGACTTTTATAGGACCTGCGATGGTAAGAAGGAGAAATTAAACGACTGCTATCAATAAACATAAAAAATTCGAATATAATTCTGCACTCATTTCTGTCACTAGAAAAACATAATCTTGCGGAACTCCCACATTTGAATTTCTCAAAACAAGGACACCAGAACATCTCTAGCATTGGTAATGGCCAGATTCTAGTCTTTAAAAATACCTCTGGCTGGTTTCTAGCTAGATTTTCTCTTTACAACCCATTATTAAGAGGATTTGTGGACTCAAAACGGCTTTCTTAGTGTCCCTACCTTCACCATAACTAACTAACTAACTAAAGTTGACTAAAAAAAAACAATAAAAATATTATCAAAACAAGATACTGCGCGTATTGATATGCGCATAAAATTATATTCTTGCGGTACTACACACATACATGTATCAAGACTATATGTTATAGTCTCGAAAATCGGAAAGTTAACAATATTCATTAAAAAATTAGAGAGGTTTTCAAAATGGGAAATAATATCCCAATGACCAATTTAATGGCTTAAATGGTTAGATGATAGTTACGTGATGAGTTTAGCCATTTTTTTAAAGAATTTGGCGGTTATTAAAATAAGGAATAAGAAAAGAAGATCTACTGTAAATTTTGACAACATTCTTTAAAGAGGTCAGGAAGTAAGGCATTAAGAAGACAGCTCTACTATAAACAGTATCAAAATGTCCCAATAAACGACTTAAGTGGAGTGGTGATAGTTAATAGAACTAGAATAAATTTTGACAACATTAAGATGTTTAAATAGGGAGTAGGCAAGAAAGTTTTATTGCGAATGGTATCAAAATGGTATAGTAAATGACCTAAGTGGGTTACTAATAGCTCACTAATAGCTAATATAAAGAATTTTGACACTATTTATTAAAGTGTAATGGGTTGATGTATTTTGGAAATAAGAAATAAGTAAAAGAATTCTACTGTAACCATATCAAAACATTTTTTAAACAGTTAAAGTGATTTTGAAAAAAAAAGGAATAAGGTAGATAAATGATGTCACAATAGGCAAGCAAATGACCTATGTTAAGTACGTTGACGATAGACGACAGTCGAATATTGAATTCTGACAAAATTTTTTAAAGAATAATGTATTTTTTCAAAATAGATATAAGGAAGATAAACCATACGACAATAGGCCAGTAAATGGTTTAAATTAGTCGATTAATGAACAGCTGTGTAACCTTTCAATGATTATTCAGTTTTGAGGCAGTAAGTTAAAGCAATATTGAGAGCTGGTATACTAAATGGTAAATGCTCTGCTATTTCTTTTTCGAAAAAGTAAGAAATAATGGACTGATCAAATTTAGGATGCACTAACTACTTTTGATATAAGAACTGGAAAGTATAAATATGAAAGAAGATTGGCTTGAGAGAAGTTTTGTGGTAACAGAGTCCCATCAGCGGTTTGTTATGACCAGTTAGGAAAGTAAACTGTAAGTTTAGTAAAATTCAAATTTAAATTTAAATAATTACACCTCAAGTTTACATAAAGGAAACATATATTTCTTTTTCCTTGACATCCTCCCTCCTTCAATTGAAATATTTTTCTACTTCTTTCTACTTGTTGTATTTCTTTAAAAGTTATTATTCTTTTTACTTTTTTAAAAAAGAATTATATATAAAAAATGTACCACAATAATAGTAAAAAACCATTAAAAAAAAGTAGCGTGTGCCGGTACAAATGACTTCATTTCATAGAAGGAGTAACTACTAATTTCGACTTATAGAAATTCTCGATTGAAACAATAAATGACTATAATCGAATACAATACTCCCATTTAAATGTTAACAACTTTATTAACAAAAAAGAAGTTATTAAACTTTTAATGAGCAGAAAGCCTACAGAGAATAGAGAAGAAACGTGGAAGAATAATTGAAGACGATCTAGTTTTGTAGTGTGTTGGACGATTTAGTGAAGTAATTTACCTTGTATCTGCGGTGCATTTGGTTTATAGTCTTGGTAATCAGCATTTATTGTACTATTCGACGATGAGTGATTGCTGCTTAATTGCGATAACCTCGTACTGGAAGCTGTCGGAGCCTTTGGTGTGCGTAATGGATCGAATTCACGAAAATTATTTGGAAAGCCTAAGCTCAAACCTCGAAATTGATGAGTGCCGGGAGGACCTAAAAATAGTAATAAATAAAATTTAATAAAATTACTTAAGTTGAGTATTGTTGTACTTTAAAAAGTCAAGCAATTTGTGATATAAATGAGTTAACGGTATCTTTGAAATGTTTCAAAAAGTGTTATACGCCATTTTGTGTATTTATAAGATACTTTTCATATATATATTTCTTTTTTCTTTTTTTTTATATATAAAAACAGTTAATGCAGCTGTAATGATTGCAGTGAAATTAACATAATTTCAAGGTAAGCCAGCTAGTCGAAGACATAAAAATGCAATGTATGTATGTATGAGTTTATGTATGTATGAATGTACGTAAGTTAGTTTTTTATTTTTAATTTTTCCAGAAAACCGCAAGTTTACATTTTTAAAATGTGTAGTAGCAACAGAAGAAGGAGGTAATGCATTCTTTATTGGTTTCTGATTAACTGCAAAAGTAGTTATGAACTCACTCCTGTCCTTTACTGACATACTAACCCAACATGTTTGTATATATGTAAAAATATGTCTAGAAAAACTACATCATTTCTTTATTACATATATATGTATATATATACACTTTAGATAGTGAAAGAAAATATTGAGGCAATTTCAAAGAGAGGGTAACCAATTGCTTGCCTCATTATCAAGTCAATCTAATAATATTTTGACGTATATCCTTGCGTCTTCTGTTTGAGGGATTAACTTTTCCTTTTTTTATACTTGAGATATTTTTAGTTATATATTTTTTTATTTTTGTTCATTATTATTATTTAATAATGTTGCGTAAATAGTAATTATGCCTACTCGGTTTGTGCGGTTTTCATTCCATGTCTTCGGTTTATGTAGGTGAAAAAATCGCAAGTGTGACCGACCATCCAACCACATGTTTTACGGTATTCTTTTACCTTTAAGCCAAATGTTTCCAAACAATCGGACAGAGTAACAATGAGCCGCAATGGGAACACAGCAGGATATTGGAAAGTATCTTTTCTTTGGTTTTTTGTAATTTTAAGTGTAAATGCGATTATTTTTAAGTGCCGTTTTTGCTGAACTATTTTCTATTATTATTTTTTTTTTGTTTAATGAATAATTAAAAAATTAGTGCAAATAAATTTTAAGGACATTGTCGTATTTAATAAGGCGTTACTTGTGGTATTAGGATTTAGTTTTCGTTTCATAGGAGTTTTATATTAAGACTATAAAACCTTTGTAAGTCATTAAAATCATTCTAAGTTTAATAATTTTAAATTTAAATTTAAAGCAATATTTATATAAGGGGCTCGAAATTTAATATAATTTTTTATATCATATTTCTTGAAAGCATGTTCGATTTCGTATCAATCGGATGCCCAGACCTTTTTCTAGGTGTCCATAATATAAGGTGTCCATAATATTAAGAGGTTGCCTAGGCTACCAGTCTGTTGAAAAATTAGTATATCAATATAGTCAATATATTAGTATATATCAATGTATTATAGTGTTGAAATAAAGATTTATTTTGAAGTCGTAAGGATATAGAAAAGGTTTATCGTTCGACTTTACTATTATCAATACGTTAGAAATAACTTTATCTCAAAGTTAAAAAGTAGCTAAAACATTTTTTTACTAAAACAATATAAAAAGCATTATAATAATAGAATAAGTTGAAAAAATCCAGTTTCTTTAATCCTTTTTGATAATCCACATCCTTGCTGGACAACAGATTAAATATAATAACTTTTATTCAGTTTTTCCTTTAGTACGTTATAAAAACTAATTTTGATATAAAATTCCAAAAATTAGATGGAGTAGGAAGAATTATGTTAACCCTTTGACATTAGAGCTATTATGAAGCAGTTGTATGGCAAATAAAATGAAGGGTTATCAAAATGACCCTCCAGAACTCAAAATATTAACAGCTTTAACTGTCAAAATTTCATGATTTGATTTTTGACATATGTTATTTTGGATGATAGACAATTTTAATCATTTATAGCATAATACAATATAGCAACTTATTATTGAAGTTTATTAATAAAATCAACACTTTACGATAACTGTATATGAACATGTTATGTTCTTAAATGGAATCATTCTCAGTATCATAAAAACTTGACGTAATTGATCTGAAGGCATCATTGATCATTAAGTCAGTCTTGTATTTTAAAATTAGCCTAAAAAGCAAGGACCTTTAATATATTTTATTAACAGACTACTGACATAAAGTGTGTACAATCATGATGGCACCTTGCAATTACGGTATTAAAAATACTTAAATAAATTTATGAACTCCATTAGTCCGATGATGATTTCTGTAGATTTCGAAATAACATAGCACCGAAGTAACTGCCAATATGGTTTATACGTATAGTATGGTTTGTGTATATAGAAATACACAAAAAATAAAATGGTGAGATTTTCTCTAAAACCGATAAATGGAGCTTAGTATTTTATGGAGGAAGTACTCTTTAGTATTGCTTTAGAAAACAATTTCTAAAGCGTCAACAGTTTAATTTTATTTCGAATTCTTAGGCCTACGGGATCGATAGGTGATTACGATTTTGGTATGCAATTAATTTGATGTAAAATGATCATGGTATAGAATACTTTTCTTTAAAATTTTAGTAAATTACTATTCTTATTATGGTATAGTAAATTCTTTCTTAAAGATGGACTGAGAAAACAAATAGATCCTTTAGTCAGGGTACTATTTACTTTCTTTGATTTAAACGCAGCGTTAAAAATCATTAATGCAAAAAAGTTAGTATGTGTATGTTTAGGAAAATGCTGGTTTTATTTTAACTAAATTGTCCCAGAGCATTATCTACACTTTTAACAAGAGAATCTGGTATTCTGGAACGTTGATAATGTCTGTTAATGTATTAAAAATTGTATGAAAACAAATCAAACTGTTGAATAGAAAGATTTCTTGATGAGTCCTTATGTATTAAAATAATGTTTATCTATACTTTTATTTTTTTTGAGGGATCTAGTCTTATAATATTATTATGATGATGATAACTATGCGATGTTTAGGAAATTTATAAGGTTCTATAGACATAATGTGGGTATAGCACTTGGGAGGAAATTAAAGTCGTTATTAATTAGATGTTGATATGGGTCACTATAATTGTTCTGATCAGCTGCCGATCTTCTCAACGGTTTTTTTACTAATACTTATTAAATCCAAATTATAAAGGAGAAAAATGATTAAGTTCATTAAAAAATGTTAACAGCCACTGTTCAAGATCCTCCAATATTGTTAAATACTAAACTGTTCATTTTAAAAATACTATTCTTCACGTTTGTTGTATTTAAAAATTATTTCTAAGTAAATTAAATTTATTTTATAATGAGTATGAAAATATCTACAGTCGACGTTATTGGTGGTATTGATGATTAGCGTTTTTAGGATGTGTTCGCAACAAATTTGCTTAGAGGTCTCACCATTAATAGTGTCACTAATGTTGTAGGAACTGCTAACCCTGCCTGAATCTTCACTAAACTGTTTACCATCGTCCTCACTAATAGTTGTGGTGGAATTATAACTATCATATGTTGAAGTATAGGACAGTGCAGGCTGCGAAGATGGTGATGCCGATGAAGATAGTTCAGAACATTGTGTATCACCAAAAGCTAAACTGGATTTACGGCGTAAGGATGTGTTATGTGTAAAATTACCTGTACCCGAAACCGTAGCAGAACGCTTTTTAATAGCGATCAACTTACTTGTCTTAGAACGTGGCTCCCTCGGTCCATCAACGGTGACTTTGATGGCTTTGGCATAGGTAGCCACCTGTGGCGGACTTGTTGCAACGGTGATTGTTAGAGTAAAACTTTTGCCTGTAGAAGAGAAGAAAAAAGAAAATAAAAATTAGTCATTAAAAATATGAAAGTTACGACTTTTTTATGAGTTTGAAGTGTAAAAAAAATGTTGACATAAATTTTAGGCAATATGGCAATAAGGCAACTTGTCAGCGCAGCGGCTAAGTTTGATCTATACGCGTTAATATTGAACTGAGGCAAGGAACGAGAGAGAAACAAGTGTTATGATTTTTTAAAAAATATATTTTTTTTAATTTTTGCTTTAATTTTAAATTTTCCAAAATATTTTAGTGGCACACGAATTAATTTAAAGTGATCATTACACGCGCCAGAACTGTTGGCGGTCTTCGTTGAAGACGGTCTTTTGCGCTTCTGCTCGTTTTTTGGCAGTTAAGTGTTAAAATCAATTTTGTTGCACCATAACTCTAAGGATTTGCCGAGTAATAGTGTTGTCAGTGACAGCAGGATAATTGAAAACCTACAAAATATTGCTAAATATAATATTTATGAACTTCACATTGCTTTAGTGGGTCAATGGAGGAAGAGATTTAAACTTTTATGACTTAAATCCTTAAAAAAAGTTTTTTTGTTAAATAAAAAAAAAAAATAATAAACTCTTCTTCAACTAAAACTGCCATTGTCACTCTGCTACTTTATTGTTATTGCCCATAAGGACTATGAATTATTTACTGTTTCGGTTAAAATATTTTTACTACTATTTACAAATAATAAAACCGCAAAACCGTTTACGAGCATAAACAAACGAGACAAATTAACCCACAACAACAATAAAACTCAAGTCCATTTAATAAAAATTAAAAAATATAAATAAATAAATAAATATGAGAAGAAAAAAACAATTCAAATTTACTGGACCAAATTTACAAACAATTGACGAGTCCACCTTTGCACTTTATCACTTTTTAAACGACGGCAATCGTTATAGCAGCTAACAGTCATTGCTATACTTGCATACACCTTTCTACACCGGTATACATATACATATATATACACTTATATGTACCGCTATGTTTATACATAAATATCTGCCTTCCACTTTGTGGTAGTGGGTAGCATCAATAAACAGACAAAGTATATTTGGCCAAGCCCACTTTTGCGCGGTAGCTTCGTTTAAATGTTGATGACCAAAAGTTTGTTTGCTTGTTTGTTTGTTTGTGCCTATAAAACGAGTGAATTAAAATTTTTGGGGTTGGGTTTTTTGGTTTCGTATGGTTTGTTTGATGCCAACCAACAAAATGCAATAACAACAAAAGTTTAAACACCCACAAAAAATGTAAAGCCATAGACCAACTAACCACAAAACCTCAGCCGCAGGCACAGGCACAGGTACTGAGCGAATATAAACACAAATATACACACAACGAACGGCATATGCTCTGGAACGATAACAAAAACAACAGCAAAAACAACAACAAATTTGCAAATATTTAAGCAGCTATGAATGAAACGAACGAGGATGAAACTATTTTAAAGACACAATACATAGAAAGCAACAAAATTAATTCACTGTAGAAAAATTATGCTTGACATGTAGTGTGGGTTTTATTCTTCATAAATTGAGTATATGTGTGCATGTGTGTATGTAACATAAGAATAATAAAAATAATAAAGGAGTAGAGTATGGAATTTATTTATTTGGTCTAACTATACAATTATTTAAAGAAACTTAAAATCTATGATTTTCTTGCTACTGTATTTTTGATTTAATTAAGCTTGAAATTATTAATTATACCATATAATTCATACATGTAAGTGATGTTATTTCATAGGTTTTTAATAGAAAAGACTATATCTACAAATCGATTGTTGAAATTGTAATAATTTATTAGCATAAAATTAATCTAAAACTAACGAAAATGCTGACTATATAATCCTTTCTCCAAATTTGCAACAAATGTGATTATGTTACTTATTTATAATTATTTAAAAAAGCCAGATATTTCTCTAAAAATACTCATATACTACAGAATTCAGGAATTTATACAATAAATAATTACATATAAGCATAGACGGCAAACACTATTATAACCCGTTCATCTCTAACCCTTCCAGAGAAACATGCAAGGACGATTACTTACTCTATCTTGATATGGCATACTTCAATCAATATAATAATTTTACTTTAGATATTCATCAAGAGAATCTACTACTCACTTTCTTGCTTCAAAAATCATAAGAACTTCAATTTCTCGTCCCTTACCTATCCACACTATTTCTCTTTTGCTTTCACTCTTAGTCAGGATCATTTACGACTCAGAATGTAGACTGAATGTAAATGGTGAATAAACCACCATTTAGTGATCTGGCGAGGATATATTATAATAATTATAATAAATTAGAATATGAACAAATTATATTGTATTAATTACATTTATGGTTTTTAGGTGTATACCAGAAATTCACACTGTAGTGAATTCTTGAAAAAAGCTACAAAGACATCATCGACAGCCACCATCATTTTGTCGACCATAAAGTAGTATTGAAATGCGCTGGCTCTGCATAGTAATCTTGAGTACTACTCGTAGTTTCATTCGGGTAGGATTGAGTCTCTCCAAACCTTCTAGTTCTTATCTATCTAACTTCGCTCTTAACACAAGTATCAATATATTTCAACGACAAACACCCCCATTTGAATTCTAAGGCATTCCGTCGATATCAATTGAAGCCATACGTATGTATGTAGTTTCCTACTTGAAAGGGAGTATAAAGCATATAACACCTCTGCTGTTCTTTAGGATACAACATACGATTGTAAAATGCAATTCCACGTTAAATAAAAGTAAATGAATACAATCATTCTATCCGTTCTAATGTAGATTTAAACCATAGCCATCACGATACTCCTATTAAATGGGTCAATCTTGATAGGTTACGACATCCGAAATTGTCTCACACCTTTGGTCGTCTGCGGTAAGTAAAACTCATTAACTATCATATATAACATAAACAGTATTGAATGCAGCCTACTGGATTTTAGCTGCCTATTACGATTGGCATACCTTACCTTGGGAACATTCTAACTCCTTTTCCGCGGGGGTGTTAGTGTGATAGTTTACTTTAGGGTGATTGCAGTGATATACATTATTCTCAATCTACTACATATTATAGTAGTATGTAGGGCCATATTCAGGCCGTAAAATACACTCAAGACTAAAGGAAAATTAATTTATTATTATTGAAAATAAATTATTAATTTTAATTTGTCTGCTCCTACAATCAGCAAATGGCTTATGGCTTATATGGTAGTAGTTGAATTTTTCAAATGAGTTACAAATTATGAAGTACCGAAATTAATAGGAAACATGAGCAGGCGGTGAAACTTAAAAGAGACGTCAGAAATCTATTTTAACAGCACAAAATGAAGAAGAAGACATCCACATTTGCGTTTGAAAGTTCAATTAATTAAATTAAGTGAAATTAATCATGTTGGCATATATTAGTGCTTTTTTGGAAAACAATGGCAACAAATGGATATTTTAAAGTTACCGTAAAATGTAAGAAAATTAAGTTATTTTTCATAAGAAAGCCCGAAAAAACTGGAGCAAGTCAATTGTTTTCTTTAATTTCTTAAACCCATTTTTTTGTCAAAATGTTTTTTGTTCAAAACACAAAAATATATTTTTTTTAGAAATTTTAGATATATGAGTTTTGGTACTTCAACGTAAAGGCTTCATTCACTCGCACCGTACGTTCGATATGGAATAAACTTTAAAGTTAAAAATCTAAATTAGTCATGCGGACCTTAGCCGAGCTATTGTGTGCGTGAGCTTGAGAATAAGTTGAAGTGGAGCAAAAAAACAAAAACAAAAGAGAGATAAATCAGTGGCGATACTCGAACATCAGCGCAACAAGGATGACTGATTATCAAAAATAGATGCCGTGTGTGTGTTAAGGTTGTGTGTGTATTTCATTATCATATCCATTATTATTATGATTATGATATTTGTTTCTTTGTTTTTGTTGTTGTAGTTGAAAGGCGCTTATTATTGATGACGCGTGTCATTCATTCACTCTTCTCATTTGTGTGCCGTTCTGCATTGAACAAATTAGTACCATTAATCTAGCAAAAAAAAAATTTTTTTTTTTGATAGTTTGGTTGACTTTGATGAGCAGTGAACCCTTTTGTATGGATTTTAGGTATTATGGATGAGTTTTAACTGTAAGAAGTCAAACTAAGTGAAAATGTGTAGAATGACCTTTGAAGTCTTAAGTTAGAAATGTAGTAGTATTTAAATATTCATATTTTTGGTTATTAATTAGTGTTAGAATTTTAAAAATACTTAGTATTTTAAGAAGACAAAGGATAATAGATAAGAGACATATTTTCTACTAATAGGTTAAATTTAGATAATCATAAGTAGTTGATATAAATCTGTTTAAATACATTGGGTACTCTTATTTTATCAAAGTATGCGGTTTTCATTTGAATAAAGTACCAGAAATGTGGTCGCATTAGTATAGATTTTGAAATACAGATTAAAATTATTCTCCTTATACCATAGATTGTCCAAAATGCACCGGTGCTTACACTCATATAAATTTTTGATTTTAATCAAAGTGCGGATAAACAGTGTTCTTCTTCTTAGCGAGATTGTCCGAGGTGAACCTGCGTTTACTCTGATAACAATAATTATAACTGATCAAGAGTAAATAATAATGATTTAAATTATCATATAAAAATACTCTTATATAAAATATTAATGATTTATTTAGCAATTAAATATGGTCTAATTATTTTATTTATTACGTTCAACAAGCTAATTCTTAATGAAATTATTTATTTTTGGAGAGGTTTCAAAAGGTAGTGAACTACAGCAACAAAAATTGCTTTTATATTATTTTAATTAACCATACAGCTGACCATGCAGTTTTTTCAAGTATCGCAAATACCCATCATCAGTGGTCTTGGAATTATTTCTTATATTTAATTATTCGTAAATAATTTTACTTTTTTTTATATTTTTATAATAATTCCTATTTTAAAACATAAACTTATAACGGTTTTGTGACAAAAAATCAAATATATAATTTATTTTAACTGCTTATATGTAGATTTTTAATAAAGAAAAATATAAAGTATTGCTTTTTTTAAATTATACTCATTTAATAAAATCAAGTCCAAAACGTCAAGTGCAGTTAATAATTTTATGTAAAATTATATGATTTTTTTTCTCTAAAGCGTATAAGCCTTTAGGCTAAAGAATAAAATAGGCAAATATCAAAAATATTAAAATGTATTTACAGCAAAAGCAATTACATTTCTACGCTTGATTAAGTGTCATTTCAGTGAATGCAAAATATGACATTTAAACGGTCATAATCAGCGGGCAGAGAAATGATTTTCAAAATGGACGTAATTGCCAGCGATTCTGATTAAAAAAGGCAAAAGGAAAAAAAAATGAATTAAATTAAAAATGTCGAATGAAATGACAAAATGGAAAAATACATGGGCGAATACAAATCGCGTTTTTCGCCGCCGTCAGCTCCATTACTGTCCATCAACTGACATCTAATCACAAATCGCCGCATGAAGTCCAGCAATCGCTATGATTTCTTTTTTTATACTGTTCTCCTTCTATTTAATGTAAGTGTTGTGTGTGTGTTTGTGTAAGCCATTGTTATATTAAATAAAATTTATACATAATAATTATGTCTGCCTTCATTGATATTGTACTTTTTGTAGATTGTGTATTTTTAATTGCTATTTATTGATTTCATGATATTTACGATAATTGAGAGCTTCTACTTTATTTTATTATTTACTTATATTGTAGTTGAAAAACTTGTGGTTCAAAAACCACATTGAAGTTTTGGCACAACATAAATTGTTCTTTAGAGGGAGATATTGGACCCAACCAAGATTCTTAAAAAAGAATAATGTAGAAGAAAAGTAATTGACTCAATCACAACTACTGACTGAACTACACATTTTACTATTCGCATTTGTCTTCTATCTATCTTCTATTAATAGCTTTTAATAGCAAATTATTATGTATATAGTACTATATACATATATAGACACACAAATACAAGTGTAATAAAATGAACGTATCTATTCAATTTGTTTAATCGCTTATTTAGCACTTAGTGCATACTGATTTGTTAACCAGATACGAAACGATTACTCATATTAAGCAAACATTTATATTATATATCTCACAATTATTAACTAAAACGAGATAAGTTAAACAAATTAGAATAATCGCATCATTGAGGACAAATATTGAAAATGAATTATTTATTTATAACAATAATATGGTAGATATGCAACCTCATCAAATTCCAATTAAAAATAGTTTTATTTGGATAAGTTAAAAATCAAATAAGTAGAACCAACAGATTAAATGTAAAAAGTATTCAAAAATAACCAGATACATACATATATATATATATGATGTATAGCAAATCTAAAAACCCATAAGATAAACATGTTCTATGTATACGATTCGACACTAAAGAAGGAATCACAGATGGTGTTTATGGGCGGGCGGGGTTGCTATCCTCGGAAGCGCTAGGTAAAAACACGATTATCTTTCATGCAGAAACTTACTATATACCATAGACTATATGCCATGTAATGTGCCATAGACTAATTATTCCAACTGCTAGTCAGGCAGCAATAAAGGCATCCAATTTTCAAGTGGTGACATCAAGACGCTGGTGATGGAGTTTCTCAAAAAGCTGAATACCCTTAGCCCAAATATTCAGATATAAATCCTATAAGTTCCAGCACACACTAAAACTTTTGGCTACGAAGTTGCAGATAAATTTGCGAAGAATGGAGCAGCCTCGCTGGTTGTAGGTCCGGAACCATTCTGCGGTTTGGAAAGAGCTAATATGTTTTCATCTATTCAGAAAGTAGGGAAGACACAAAGAACGCTGTACTGGTATAACCTACAGATGCTATTACAATCGAAATCGCTTATAGGTATTTTCCACTTAAAATGGTTTAATGATTGTATGCAATTAAATGAATTTAACTTTAGAATCATAAGAGAAATTGTGAGAGGTTACTGTAGGTTAAACAAACATCTTACAAAACTTGAAACATTTTAATGAAACTTTTAGTTTTGTGGGAAAAATAATGGGATTTAAAAATAAGTGCTAGGAGTTTGCCCAACATTGATACATAAACGATGGGCATCTCATATCGAAAAAAGAAAATCTCTGTAGATTTTATACTACAGCGAATGTTATAGAAGATGTTGGAATTAGAGAAGCACTTAAAGTATATCAACAGCAACAATCAATCTATAAATCATAATACCAACATATAATAATAATAATTATAATGCTTAACATATGTGTGTTTTCGTTATCGACAAATGACCTCGTTCAAAATTATTACTCGTATTAAATACAAAAGAATAGATGCTTAATTAATTTTAATTAAATTCTTTAATTTTAATATAAATAAAATATACAACAGATATCATTGTCCAAATATTCATTTTTCTAGTTTTTATATAGATCAAGTGTATAGTGATAACATTGTTCTGGTATCCTTAAAATGAATTATGTATAAATGCAGGCTAAAGACGGACTTCTCTGAATTCTCATTACAATTGGACCAACTGTTCTATGATGGGACATAAGCTCAAATAATTAATTTTTATTCCTAAATAATGTGCTATAGAAGTCTAATTACAAATGTTTGTGTAAGGCAAGTGTCTTCCCATGTTCATGAAGTCATACAAGGATAAGCACTTTGCAGTGTCTGTTGCACATAATAACCATCAAATGATCATGGCATGTTGGGTCACACAAGTGTGCACTTTAAAATCGATTATTGATGGCAAAAATGATGTTGCGTGCCAAAAAAAGTTCTAGAGGAATTCATCGGACCAGAGCAGACCAAGAAAGGAGCAACAAAGTTGCAGTACTTGATGCATGCCTGACGTTTGCCGGAATGTCAGTTGGCTGCCTGCACGATCAGCTCACTTGCCTGGTTGCTGGGGTTGTTGTTTTTGTAGTTGGTTGAAAATTTGGAAGCGTTGAACTGCAACATAATAAGGACGAAGAAATGAGCATAACAATTTGCCAGTGCAATTGCATGTTGACCCAAAGGCATATGGACATAATGTGACGACTTCTGTGCCTGAACTTAAATTGACCAATTTTAAGGTGTTTGTTGGGTTTGCCGGGTTCGAATTATTTTTTTATGTTGTGGGATGTGGAAGGTACTTTTCTTTGGGTGAAGTAATTATTATTGATATTTTAAGTGTTTTATTGCCTTGAGGATTATGCGCGGAAATTGCCAAAATTATGTACACTTATTTAAAATTTTATTTACTCACCTCTGCCGCTGCGTCCAACAAAACGGAGATCATTGAATTTGGCTACATGATTCTTCATCACTGCTGTGCAATTTCTCAGTTCAGCGCAGTAATTTTCATCATTTCCAGCACGTATTGTTACAATTGTCCCATCGCCCACATCCACCAGTGCAACCACTTTGAAGGCCAAGGGTAGCGTTTTATTCGAACGCCAGTGCGAGGGTAGCGCTGAACACAGGATGTATGGATTGCTCGTGGGCACTGTAATAGCAAAAGTCATGTAATTAATAATTTACTCAATTAAATCATAATTAATTAAAATGATTAAAAGTTAAATTTGCATATATAATTTAAATAAAACAAATATTATAAAAACGGGTAAATTTTTTTTTTTATTTCGTTGTTAATTGATGAATCATTGACTGTGGCGATGACGTCGCTAATGACTTTGTGAATTGGGAAAATCTGCCAAGTTCATTATTAATTTATCAGATTAATGAAATTAATTATTCATAAATCATAAAAATAATTATGAGCATTTGTTGTATTGGAGTTAAAAATCACTGAAGGACTACGTGCCAAAGTTAACTGCAGGCCAACTTTTTACAGTTTATTGAATTTTTATTAATAAAAAGTTATTGGAAAAGTATCTTGATATTAGTATAGAAGAAAAAATATCAATTACTAAAGAAATGTTATATTATAAATTACTTTCATTTAGACAAAAACAAGACACAAGTCAAGAAAGTCTAAAAAGTAGCTCCTTTCAAAGAGATCATGTAATCTTAATGAGAACATGGTTCCATAATCTTTAATAACGTAAAGGAATCCAATATATATCATGTAACACAATATGTGTTTTCGAAATATAACACTTTTTTCATTAATAAAACAAGAAGATTATATATCAATATCAATAAAAATATTTGGGCATTAACACCGAATTAAATTACATTTTTTTGGGAAGACTTATAAGGGCTTCACTGTGATTTTGGCATGCTTTAAGAAAGTTGCACGTACTATGTCTTTTTTTCTGTATGAAATCTGAACTGTTTGACTTTAGTTTCAGAATAATATAAAATTATTTTTAAAGTTTAGATATTAATTATTAAATTACATATTTAAAAAACTACAATACATATGTCTATTCAAAGTTCGTGAAGTTAACTAGCAGGCCTTAAAGCTTTTGTGTAGTATCATAACAGTCCTACTCCATAGTGTCTAACTGAACAGGTCTTACCAATAGCAACAATACAAAGAAAACTCTACTGCTTATGAAGAGACTGAAAAAAGTGTCAGTGGGTGGTGCAAGCTTGATGAGGTGGAGATTAATTAATTATTACTTTTAATTTATTATAATCATTTTCATACATTTATCTACCCACATTCAGAAAACATTGTGTATGAATATCGTAAATAAACTGGAAGATCTGTTTGCGAACTACTAGCAGATTTTCCTCATTTTATTTGTTTAACTACCAACGTATCATAATACAATATATTAAATATCTATTGAAATCAAACTATATATATTGTGTGCTCTTTGATTAATACTATCTACTGATAGATTAATTATAGGCTTTTTGGAACAACATACTAGTATTATGTAGCGCTGATTAGCAATGATTATTTATTAAACGTATCTAGTAATAAATAATCTTGAATATTTCCATTAGGTTAAATAGATATAAGCTCCTTTTAATGATTATTATTAAATTATTGACTTAGAAAAGGACTAGAGAAATATTGCAATGACACTTTCCAGTAGTTTTCTTTTTTTAAGCCTATTTGACAAGTCCAACATGTGATTAAAGAGACAGCCAATGTTATAAAAACGATATAGTGGTTTTTCTGATTCAAAATAAAATACATATATCTATTCAAAATTTCTTTAGTCAACTAATCTGCCTGATGTCTAATCTGTGGTTTTATAACAAGTATCGTCATAGGGCCATATGAAGACCTTAGTAAAACTGCGTGCTATTCTACAAGTATTATCTACGATCGCTATGAAACACTACAAGCATTACCTACCGTACTTTCTATCTTTGGATCAAAAATGCACTCGTGAACACATTAAAAAGGGTCGGTTATAGCTATAAGATGTTATGAAGATAAAAATATGTAAGAACTCTATGAGCATTGGGTGTCCAATTTACTGTCTTTGGATCAAAAATGCAACCCCTGAAATATTTTGAAGGGTCTATTAGAGTCTTATGATAAGGACTTAGACATATAAAAACTATACGTGCGTTGCGTACCGTGTTTTTCGACTTTGAAACAAAAATTCAATAACATTCTAAAGGACTTGTTACAGCAATTTCACTAAATGCTGTCAGTCGGAAAAATAATTGTAAATATTTTTTTGTTGAAAACGTATGTTGACTATCTTAAAACAGAACACAAATAATGATAATGGGTCAATATTATGTAACAAGACTGGATATATTGATATTCTTTTTTATTAAACAATTATCCTCACTGCATAATTTCTCAGAGTACTTGGCTTAAACAGTAAAAATTCTCACCAAATGAGGAGGTGAGTTTAAAAGATTTAAAGCGGTTAAATAAAAGAATTCAGTTTACAACAAAATAAAGTCTATATAGTCTTCCAAAATCATCACAGAAAAATTAAGCCGTCGGTGAAATTAATTATTAATTTTTGAAAAAAACGTCTTGCTCTGAAGTTAAGTTGAATTTAGAATATCTATAAATTTAATATTACAAAAACAAGATTAATCATAACGGACATAAAATAAAAAGTTTATTATGTAAAATAGACGATTTGAAGAAATACATAAGAAATTGAAGACTATTCTCAATAGGGTTACCACAAGCACAAGTTGTAGGCACACGTACCGAAGAGATTTATTATATAAAAATGAAGTAATGGATTCATGTACCGCCCGAAAATAGTCAAAATTCAACCAAAAGTTAAAATTTGACTAGCCTCTAAAGAGTTTTACATCCTTGTAGTACTTATAGGTATTTTTTTTTTGTAGGCAAATTTCATCTATACCGCCACTTAGACACTATCTAACAACTAATTATTAAAATTATCTGAGAGCATCCTTCCCTTATTTTTGATTCTGGCTACAGGCCTGATATAACCATTAACATATCACTTATGTTTTCTATGTGGTATTGTCAAGAAAACTACAATTTGTGAAATTAATTAGCTGGTTCAATGATGGCTCAAAATTGGATTAACGCCCAGATGTAGATAACAACCACTTTCATTAACTGAATGTGTTTTACATTCAGAACATACAATAATTTTGAGGCAGCCATAGAGACATTCGCAAAAGTTGAGCTAATTGATATTTGTGGAGCTTTGGATACTATTGCGGCTGCTCTTTGCTATTTGCGCGGGGCTATCATTGACATGATATAATACAACAAGAACGACAAAAATAAGGGCTGTGATTTGATGAGAGATCTCATAGTGATCATGCGGTATTACATTAGACAATGCTAGCTTAGGAGTGTCTACTTCTGCATAACGGAAGTCAATGAACACTCGTACTTGTATTTGTTCATGACTATTTGAAGGCCGTCGTTTTTTCGAACACTTGTTAACTTAATTATAAACTTCAAGCTTAAGGTTGAAAAAAAAACATATACTATAGTTGTCACTATACTTATTTATTTACTCTTTAAGAAATCCAATCAACATTCAAAAAAAAAATTTTTATTTAATTTTAAAAAAGAGTTTCCTACACGTCTTTAGAATTTTTTATTGTAAAAAGTAGAAAAATGTTAATTTTTAAGAATTAATTTTGATGCACTAATTTTTGATGCTTGCTACATTTGATTAATTCTGCAGGTTGAAAATTCGTATACGTGAACCCAGCTTAGTTGCGTGTGGGTGTGTGTGCAAAAAAAACATATTGACAAGTGATTTAACATTTATTTTGGTGTTTACAAATTACATACAAATTTTACATTTTCGGTGTTTAATCTTTCGTTCTAGCATTAAGAAAAAATTCCTCTGCAAATAAATGATTAATAGAAAATATTATAAAATGACAAAAGAAAAATATTTTGCAATTTTTGGTTTTATCATCTTTTCAATAGCATCGAAGCATGGGTAAAGTTTCAATACACCAAATGTAGTAGTGAAAACTGGTACAAAAACTACCCAAAACTCAATCTAAAGTTCAAGTTTGACTTATCTCTAAACGGACCCTTTATGTAGAATAGATTAAAAAATTCGTATACCGATAGAAATTAGTCAAAGCTTAACCTAAAGTTTAGACGTATTCATAGGTGTTTTTTCTATTCGTTGATTTATTTCACTAAACTATCACAGACACTATACATTCATTAAATAGCTAATTCCGTTCATTTTTAATCCTCAATTTTACTTAAGTGTGGCATAGGCTATTATTATTGGAAGTAATATATTGCAATAATTTTATAGCAACATAAATTCGAAATTCATATAAATCCTTCCCGCTTGATTCCCTATATAAGTATATGAAACTAAACAATAGATTTATCTATACATTTATCATTTTAATTCTATTGCAAATCTTCTATATCACTTAATTTGAAAATAAACCATTGCTACAATATCTAGAATTTTGTTTCTATAACACATCTTCCATATCAGCTTATTTGAAAAAAAAAACCATAGATAATATGGTTGAATATATATAAATATACGGATACAAATTTCTATAATTTTAATTCTATAAAAATCTTTCATAGCAGCTAATTTGAGATTGAACCATAAATACTATATCTAGAATTGTAGTTCTATAACACTTCTTCCATATCAGCTAATTTGAAATCAAGCCATACTTTAAATCCATATTTATATTTGATATCATATATGTATAGATGCTATATAGCACATCTTTTATATAACCCACTTTTAAGATACCATCTAACATTTTTGAAAACTTACCCAATTCATTTGGAAATTCCTGTTGTGCTTGCAACACTGAATGCTCGGTCCACCATAGACCCTGATGTATTGCACTATTATTATTACTACAACTGCTATTGTTATTACCGCTATTAGCACTATTTGCGGTACCGTTGCTGGCACCGCCGGTGGGTGAACTACTGCCAATGCTAGCATTACTTGCGGGCATCGCCTCACACTTGTAGAGCTGCGGTGAAGTCCAGTCGGCGGGCGATGTGGAAGATGTTACCATTGTTGTGGCACTAGGCGGACCAATTAGATTGTGGACTGTTGAACCACTATAGGCTGCAGTGACTGCAGTACCGCTAGGTAAATGCATTCGGTGCTGATAAGAATTTTTGGGAGCTATTTTGGCGGCGATATTAACACGTGTGCAGAGAAATAATAATGATCGGTATGAATAGATGATCAAAACCAAACCAGTCCGAAGCGTAGACGTCGTTGTTCCAATGACGTATTTCGCGTAAAATATTTTATCAATCGAGCTCGGTTAACGTCTGTTTAACCTTTTACGCTATAGCGTTATTTTAGTTTTTTTATTGCTTTAATTTAAAATTATAATTTTTAATATTAATTCTATTTTTTGGTCACTATTTTGCTATTTTTGCTTAAAAACTAAATAAATTATTAAATTTTTGACGTCAACACGCACACTGCTTAGTCACAAATTATCACTTCTGTCGACTACATTAATTATGAATAATTTTAAATTTGTCACTCTTAATTTTTATATTAAGAAAAAATATTAAATATTTAATATTGTATATATTGTATATATTGTATTATTAAAGATATTTGGATGCGAATTTGGATGTGAATTTGCATGCGAACGGGCGATAGTAGGATGAAGGCGCTTTTATTATTGCGAATCTTTTGTTTTCTTTTTTTTTATTATTGTATCAAAGTCAAGCTTTGAATTTTATGTGCTATTTTTGTATAATATTAAACGTAAACAGAAACAACAACAACAACAATTATATTGTAGCAGTAACAGCAGCAACAACAACAGTAACAGTAACAGCGACGGTAAGAGGGCCGTAACAGAAGTAACACAATTCGTGCGAGCACGCCAACGCTTCGAAGACTGCAAAAGACCGCCGTTGAGGGAGATGAGTCACAGTGCTTAGTTGGCTTACGCTTGCTTAGTTGGTGTTGAGCTGAGCTGAGCTTTGTGTGATTTCGTCAAAAATTTACTAAACGTAGACGACGACGTAGAGCGGATTTTAATGAGTTCGCAGAAAAAAAATCACAACAAGACCGGTTAACAGAATGCAGAACTCCACTGTACGATAACACAAACGCAGCCGAATAGTCGGCTGACATGCCAAAGAAGCTGTTCAATTTCAATTTAAAGTATTGTAATTTATTTGTTTTTTTTTTTAGTTAATCATAGCTGAATGAGTGTGTTTAAGCTTGGACTAAGTCTGCTGCTACATTGTAAGGAACACATGGAGACACTTAGAGGTTTGACACAATGTTGACAATTTTTTTTTATCACTTAGCAAAAAATATTTATTTTTATTTTTCTAATTAATGCAATTTGCTTTTCGATTTGTTGTTGACAGTTTTTTTTTCAGTTAGAGAAAAATTAAATGCAATTTTCCAAGAAATGCAGTGGGGTTTATTTATTAATATTTTTTCTTTTCGCTGCACTATTTTGTAAATTTTTATAATATATTTTTTTTTTTATTTTTATAAAATAAAAGTAGGCGACAGTAATTTTTTTTAAATTCAAGTTTCATATATTGCACAAAAGAAATTTTTTTTTTCAAATAATTTCACAATTAGCACTTGTGTCATATATTATGTTTATTATTATTTTTTTTTTTTTTCAATTAATTATATTTTATTCAAAAACAATTTTTTCCCCTTAACAATTTACGCGTATTTATTTAAACTTCGCTTCGTGCATACGAAAAAAATAAAAAAACAGTTGCTCTCGCGTACGCTACTGAATTGTTACTGGCACTTAACGTGGCCACCAACAACGGTTTAACCCCATAGAGCCAAGCTCAGAACATCAATAACATAAACAATACAACAACAAAACGTCTGAACAAGAACGACGACACCAAAGGCTACAGCAAGCAGCTCAGCACAGCGGAGCTCAGCACAAGCACAATACGGAAAACATTGTGTGCTTTATTGACTTCAAATGCAAAATAGCCAATGTTAAGTGTGAAACCCATAATTAACAACAATAACATGTGCGCTCTTAACAGTACCGTAAACTGTTTAGTGACTCTTAAATACATAACACAAATGAGTTACTTTTGGCTCTCTTAAAAGACAAGCGCAGTTTGAAAAAACCAAATACAAATGATTTTTGTTTTATTTTTTGCTTATACTTAACTGCTTAACAATAATAATAAAGCAAATATAAAAACTCACTCTCTTTTTATATGGAAAGGCGTTATATGTTCTGCACACTTGCGCAACCAATAAGCGTTGCTTACAAAGCATTGTTGTTGCGCTCTATGTTGATTGGCTATTACTGTTGCAGAACAAAAACAAAAAGTGCTGTAAGCGCATAAATAAAGCAAAATAGTATAGAATTTGACAAGTTGAAATTTAGTTGTTTGGCATCTTTTTCTGCAGCTGCTAGTGTTGTTGATTTTATTTTATATTTGTTTCTTGCTCTTTGATTTTGGTTTTTAGTTTTCCTTTTTTTTTTGTTTTTGTAATTATTGTTTTGTTTTTTATTTATTGTGTTTTTGTATTTGTTACCAATTTTTTTTGTGTGCTTTAAGGTTGGTGCTGTTACGTTTTGTGAAATTTTTGCTGTGTATATTCATTATCTTTTGCAATTTTAAAAGCTTTTTTTAATGCCTTCCATTTGTCGCTTTGACTTTTACTGCATTTCAATCATTATTATTATTACAATTTTTTTGTTCATTGTGTTTGTGTTTTTGTTGTTGTTGTTTTTCTTTTGCTTTGTACTTTGTTCGTTGTTTCAGTTATTCTGGCCATATGCAGTGCAGGGATTTTCAAGGATTCATTTTATGTACTCACGCAGACTTTGCGGTTAATTATTGTCGTTTTTGTTGTTGTTCGGTTTTTGTGTGCTGGTTGTGCTGGTTGCGCTCGCTGGCCATTTTGTTTTTGTATTTGTTTGTCGTCGTAATTGTACGCAAAAGATTTGCATTTTTGTTTTTAATTACATATTATTATTGTTACTATTAATATCATTATTATTGTGATTTTGAAATACTCCTCAAAGGCTCGAAAGTTGCATTCAAAAAGGTCATTAAGGCAATTTAAAATAATTTATCGCATTTATTACTTAACGGAATGTGTAATTAATACTTGAGGTCATTGTATAATTAAGTACTGAGAATTATTATAATTATTTTATATACTAAAAGGATTTTGCAGCATAATAAATTAACAGAGAAAATGTACATTACACATCTACATAAATTACAGAAACAACAATAGTTGACCCATGTCACAACAACTGCAATACTACTTATAATAAACCCTGAAATGTCCCTGAGTTGTCTCCTTTGTGAAGTTACTTTACACAGCTCCATACGCTCTTAGTCCTGATAAAGAGTTATACATTGTAATTAAAATTTTCTTAATAATTACTTATTAACTTAGTTGGCCATTACAGACGTAAGACGTCCGTGGCCGAGCCCAGTAGCCTTTGTCAGTCAGTGGCTTGTTGTCGCCAGTTGATAGTAACGAATGTCTTCATTTAGTTGGTCATTTTGTCTCTCCATCAAAGATATGGACGTCCTCTATTACGTTTTCCAACAGCGTGTCCTCAAGCAAACATCTTTCTAGCCGGCGCATTTTTTTTTGATTCGTATGAGTTGATCGCGACGTCAATGTCGATTGGTCAATTTGGAGTAACTTTTTACACTGAGATTCTATTTCAATGTAAATTTTATTTTCAATTAATAAATCTCGAGTAAAATGTACAACAGTTGAGATTAATTTTTAACTCTCTAGATATTTTGCCAGTGTAGCAAGATTATCCTAAAATCCATAGTACTACAAAACACAACTACAAAAATATTAGATTACTCTAAAATGTTCGATTGGGTATCAAAATTTAATAGATTGAGAGTAAATCTAGATTAAATCCAGATTTACCAATTGAATACGCAATCAGAATGATCAATTCCCATGCATTTGCTTAACAGTGAAGTACAGGGTTAGCCAAATTAGACTGACCCATTTTGCCACATACAGTAGTACAGTAGTATCTTGACTACGAAGTGAGAGAGAGCCTTGACTAAGTGGGAATGAATATGATATATGATACATATGGTCCTAATGGATACATCACAATTTCTTGAGTTAATTTAAATGAAATGAATAAAAGGACTATAGTTCTGAATATTTGTATTCATTATTTATGCATTATGACTGTTTATTAAAACAAAAATATTGTGTTATATTTCGGAAATTATCTGAAGTAAATCCCGAAGCAAATTTGTAGCTTGAAGTTATCATAGGTATGCTTTTTATTCAGTAAGAAATTCACTTCATTGGAACCAAAGGCGCAGACTCATTTAAGTGAGGCTCATTTTTAAAAACTACATATCAAAATTGAACATTTTTACGATAATATTTGGTTGAAAAACTCATTTAAGTGAGGATTTATTCAAAGTTCATAAAAATTAGAATTAAAACTTAAATTAAAAAAGTTAATTTTATCAAGTGTAAAGTATTGAATCTGCTGTATAATCATTATTGTCTCTGTACTCTATACAAAGCAATTTGGTAACTTACACAGACCTTTATCTGTACATATATGATGTTAGGATAGTAGATTAAGTTAAGTTATAACAGTGATTGTAAGAATCCACTTATTGGCCTATTAAACTTGTTATCGCTATGAACTGGAAGGGGTTATTCCAAAACCATCTCATTATCATTCTTAGCTTTTTAGTCTGGAGTGGACTACACTAATTACGTTGCTATAATTCTCTCTATGTGTTGCAACTTCTGTTAATCCAGTATTTCTAGTGCTTTTAAGCCGGTGAATACAACATGACCATCTGAAGTTGCTCATACAGCCACATCGTTTCAACACCTTTTATCCATCCTCAACTCACCCCAATTCAGTCTTTATGTAAATAAAGTATTAAATCAAATTTTATATGTTATCTTCTTTATCTTTTACTAATGTGTTGGCCCTTTCTATTTCAAACTTATAGGTAATCTAGATAGATATATTGCGGGGCTCAATTAAAGTTGTATATAAAACCTTTATAATTTAAGAGCACTCGTTTTAATCAATTGACTATATGAATAAGCAATAAATAAATCAGATAGATATTGTTTTGAGATGCAGTTAAGCAGAGAATAATTTTCTAATAAAAAATTTGAGTATTTGATTAGAAATTTTTATTATTTATTAACACATATAGGCAGTTCTTTTCTAAATGCTATAACATTTAAATAGTACTAAGTTTTATATGCAATGACCACTGTAATCTATTTCGGCGATGAATATGGATATAGATTTAAAGATATATATAAATATTGATACAGATATTAGGTCATGCCATCTCTCAACTAAGCCTAAAAGTGAGTTTTACCACGTTAATGTTAATATCTCGTTATATTATTATTTTATACAGATTATAGTAATAAGATATCAGTAGATAAATGTCGATAGGAAATTGTATGCTAGAGGAAATGGTCTGATATTATTGAACATGCCGGTAACTAGAAACTAACTTTGAGGAGTACTTTTAGATAGTTTTAGTATTTTAATATAAAATTTAATTTAAATATTAAAATTAAAAAATGTGAAAATTATATTTGCATTAATTTTAATATAAAAACATTTATATGTTATTATATAGTAAGATATACACACAAATAAATTTATGTCGTATAATTGATTTAATTTATTGAATAAATTATGCATTAATAATAAACACACATACACATTAATAGAGTTAATCTACTCATTTCGAGGGAAGGGCGGTAAAGTTGCCGCTTGATTTTTAATAATTATTTCGATTATTACTTGAAGTACTTGATTTTATTATATATAGTTACCTTATAATTAAGGAGATCATCTTCAATAAGCCAACGCTTTCTTTTGTTATTGCCAATCACATACAGGTGAGGATAATGCAGCATTTGCATTAGTTTACCAACTCATTTATATTCCTTGAGTCCATTGTGATCTCTCAGTTTCACGCGGGTCCTTTACTTCTTTTACATTTCAGGACTCTTGTACAGAGCAGGATGTTTCAATCTTCGTTCTGAATACCTTTGTAAGCGAACTAAAGATATATTTAACTTGAACTGTACTTTACTTCTGGCTAGAGCTGGGTAGATGCAATTGAAGCGTTCTTTTCCCTGTCCCATCTCCACAATATGGGATATCAGCGACATTCAGAAGAGGAAACTTGCCGCCTAAGAGCGTAATATAGATAGATAAAATAGATAAAATAGAAGTTCTCCAATCATTTATTAATTCCATAATTTTTTAAAATATTTTTTCTATTGGTTATTATTAAAAATTTAATTGTTATTCCTATGATTAGCCTTTTATCTCAGTTATATCTGCCTGTCAAACTACTTTTCAGATAAAATACAATATATCAATGTCAGGTTAATATCGCAAATAATATTATTAAGACAAATATATCGCAACATTACCCAAAATTAATTATTCAAAATAAATAAAAAATGTTAATTATATAAAAATAATAGTTTTGATAATTTTAATGATAAAATAAAATTGGTTTTTAATTGTTGAAGCATTCAACCACATTTGTGGAATTGAGTGGTCTCTCCGATTAAGTATATCAGAACCATAATTGTTTCCTAATTAAAAGTAAACATTGCGTTTGACCCACTGGCACATGTTTCGATGTTATGAAATTCTTATCGAAAACTAAATATTAAATATTTTAACTAAACCACGATTGTTCCACAAATACTATCCGTAGTCCAACCAGCCGAAACCTAAACCGAAAACATTGAATTTGTTTGTTTGTTGTTTTTTATTTTGTGGGAAAAGTTCTTATCAGTCGTACGAGTAGCTCAGCTCACTCAGCTGCGATTTTGCAAATCTCTCTGCTTTAGTCTCCTAGTGATAAACATGTTTCGTTTTGTTCGGAATTCAAGGTTCTGGAAAAAGCTTCTGCACATATTAAACTAAAAATTCCCACGACATTTGCTATAAATTGCAAAAATCTAAAAAAATAGTTAATTTCATAAAAATTGTTTAAATTATTTGAAATACTGGGTCATGTGATTAGTTGTGGAACTTTATTCATTCATTTATATGAAGATATATTTGTGGATTCAAAACGGCTTTTTAGCTAATTGAGGAGCTCTCGTCCTCCCTCCACCTTAACTAACTATGAATAAATATAATCCATATAATCCATACAAAGTATGTAAGTACCACAAGAACGCTTAAGACTTTAGGTATCAAGTAGTCATTAACATATTAGTGTTATTCTGAACTCGCCAAACAGCGATATGTGCTATTTTTCATATAAGAGCCATACAAAATTCGTATAAGAAAATATTAAAGTTCTTCTATAAGTTTGTGTAAACATAATTTAAGAATCCTCAAATGATAAAATAAATATTCTGCATATATGCTAAACTAGTTAACTCATAGGCTTCTATAGCGTTATGCCCTAATCATGTGGTAAAAATAGTTGTAATCTTAATATTACGAATATATCAGGAAGTTCTACGGCATAAGAGTTTGTCGATGTTCATTAGATATTAAGGAGTTATCCGTCTATTATCCATGGTTATGAATTGAAGGAAAAATTTCAACATTCTTCTTTACAATTATACATTGTCACATTCGTAACTGAAATACCTACGAAAACTTTATTCATATTTCTTCATTGACTACCGAAGAGGATTCTGGTAAAAGTGACGGCTAAGTTAGTAGCAACCAGATATAATGCTCTCAACCGTTGATTACATATAATAGAGAACGCAAATGTACTGAGTTAAAGTACATTTGCCTTCAGTTCTATTGACTTTGGGTGAGTACCTTCTTTCACTTGCGCGCAGACACTTAACTCGTCGACACAATCACCCCCCCACCCCAAATATTTTCCATGACGAGAAACTTCCGTCTTCAAGCCCTTTTTCTCTGCTCCTCTCAATCTCTTTCTCACTATCTTGATGAGATGACGCGCTCCCCTCATTCTATCCCGTTATACAATCGTGGATTTCATAATTCCCTACATCGTGTATACCGTTAATGGTTTCCATCTCTCAATAATTCGTTAGGATTTTCTCATCATCCCTAATTTCAACGCTTATGCGTCTACATTCTCAGCTTAGAGGAATTTATTTACAAATACGAAGCTTTTATTTTTTTGTCTTCCCTAATTCTAGAATGGGGTTACATCTGCGGGTACAATTTTTCATTTTCATTCCATAAAGGTAGTTTAGTGGATTCAAGTCACACACGGTGACTTTCGATAAATCCTTTTTTAATAAATTGGGTATAAGCGTTTCGTTCTAATTGCTCGACTATTATCTTTTTTGATAAATTGGGTATAGGCGTTCCGTTCTGATTGTTCGACCATTCCAAAGACTTTCAGGCAGACGTAATGGAGTCAAACTAATTTCTTTCATCGTAGTGGTTGTTTTAAAAACGACGTCTTTCAGATGGAGGTAATGGCGTCGAACTGAGTTATCGCAACAGTTGTTTTCATAGTTTAAACAATTTCTAGACCTAAGATTATATTGTTTATATTTTAGGATGAGCTATTTGAGATGGACGATTTTTTCAGGTATATATATTTCTTCAGGTTATATCTGGGCTTTGATACTTATATGTTTCAAGTTTATTGATAATCTCTTAGTTGAGAAAATTACTTAAAACTTTGGTGCAAATGTATATAGGTTTTAATATTAACACTTGAAACGTCTCCAAATAAATCTATTTTAATTTGTTTTAAGATCTTTTATAGTTTTCTCTCTGATGCTTGAAATTAGTTGGATATTTTATTACAAATTTAAGCATTGATTGTATTATAAAGGCGTTTATTTTAATGTTAAAGGAATAGTATGCATTCAATCACTTGAAATTTGGCAATAGTGGTGTTCAGACTAGACTCTTTAATTCGGTACTTCATACACGGTAAGCTTCTAAAACTTGTTTACGTAAAATTATTGCGTTGACGAGTCAATGCATATACTGTAGCCAGATATCAAGTTAAAAATTTTTCATTATTTGGTAAAACAACAAGTTTTTCTTATAAATTTCCTAAGGAATTGAGTTCATTAAGAAAACTTGTTAACAATATATATCTTATCTTAATATATATCTACCTTATTCTCTTCATTATATTTTATCAATTATTAAAATGTGCAATTACTATTGCTTTTTTATAATATTTTATATAATAGTACAATTATTTTGTCTCGATATTTAAAAATGGTATTAAATATATTTTGCAGATTGTGAGGGCCTGCCCATCCCTGTCTTTTTGCTTATTTTCGCTAATTTGTATTGTGTTTGTTACCAGCTGTTGTTGTTTACTAACAAATTTGCTTTTTTTTTCTATTTTAAAAAATCGTATTAGTATTGCTAATATGCAGTATTGGCATCAAGAAAAGTACTATTTTCAAATGCAATTAAACATTTGTATATAGTCGGAAATATGTCCAATGTTTTAATGTCCAAATAATTTTTATTATCTTATTTATACTAAAACTTTGCTTTGATTTAATTAATATAATATATTATGGAATAATAGAAGGCTTAAAATTATGATTATAATTTGGTACTATTTTTTTATGCCATGCAGCCACCCTTATTCACACACACATCTTATCAGCTGTTCGCGAGGTGCTTGTGTTGGCTTTGTCTGCTGTGTTTTTGTTAGTCGTGCACGTTTGGTTGTAATTTATTTATTAGTATAATTTAGTAAAAGTAACACGAAGAATGTTATTTCCTTTAAGAATTTTAACAAATTCAAAGCAGTTATTTATGCAAAATGTACGAACCACAAAATTTCTGCCAATTTATGCTAAATTATATGCGACAAACACGAGAGTAGCAGATGGAAACATCACAATTGGTGATGTAACTTGTGATTTGAAGGCGCCCGCCAATCCGGAACTAGTACCGCAGAAATATAGTGAGTCCAAAGTCCAAACAATAATTTACTTTAATTAAAATTTTTTTTTTGCAGTACAATATGGCGAAGATGGTACATTACAGTTGACACAATCCGCATTGCATCATTTACGTTGGATGCTGCAGAAAGATTCGCTGAAACAGGATATGTTTCTGCTAGGACAACCTGGACCATTACGACGCCAGCTAGCTATGCAGTTTTTGGAGTTGACACAGCGTGAGTTGGAGTATATTGCACTTAGCAGGGATACCACAGAAAGTGATTTGAAACAACGACGCGAAATAAAGGATAAAGCTGCAATTTACTATGATCAGGTTGGTTTGTGAATGAAACATTGATTTGTTGTGGGCAAAAATGCAAGGTTTAATCATATCAACGCACAATAGAATACAAATTCATAACATCATCGCTGATAAACAGGTTCATATTCTTAGCGATAAAAGTTGTACTTTGCATATGAACCGTCATTAAATGGTTTTATTGCTTTTTCTTATAGTGCGCGGTGCGTGCTGCAGTCAATGGACGTGTGTTGGTGCTGGATGGTGTGGAACATGCTGAACGCAATGTTTTACCAATATTAAATAATTTATTAGAAAATCGTGAAATGCATTTGGAAAATGGTAAATTCCTAATGGCACCCGAACGTTATGATAAATTGTTAGAGGTGAGTATGTAGAATTTTTAATATAAAATGAGTTATACCACTTACTGTTTTTTTTAGTCTTACACTAAGGATCAGCTAGATAATTGGGGATTGTTACGTGTCTCTGAAGATTTTCGTGTTGTCGCCTTGGGCTTACCAACGCATAAATATAAAGGCACACCGCTGGATCCACCTTTCAGATCACGTTTTCAATCACGTAATGTGTCACATTATGCCTTCGATGTATGTCAGACATTATTTTTATGTTAATTACTTTATTAAATATATTATTAAATTAAAATAAATGATTTTAGGAGATGTTGATTGATTTGCAACAACTCGCGCCTGAAGTGCCTTTGGATAATTTAAAAAAATTAATTTCCTTTGGTTTGGGAGTGCAATCGGCTGACAGTTCCATAAATTTACCAGATTTTCCTTTAGACAATTTGCAGTTAGTAGCAAGAATAATGGTAAATATGTATAATATTTTTATATAGTATAAAATAATAGTATATTTGTTATATATTTATAACATATTATATTATTATAGTAGTATATTATTTGTTAAATCGTAACTACTATTTTTATAATAGTAGTTGTAGTAGTGTTTTATTCAAATATTCATGTTCTATTCTAAGAACTTACAATATAGTCGTCTGTTAATAATTTATTATATGAATTTATATAAAACTTCTAATTATTTTCAGAACGCTAACCCTAAGATCAGTGTACATGATGCAATTAAACATGTTTATCCGTACCAAACTACATTAAAGAAAGAAGCGATTGTTCGTATAAAAGATCTGTTAACATCATTTGAAATAAATTCTTTACCAGCAGAACCGATTAAAAAAATTAATGCAACAAAAGTAGCTGAAGATAGTAATATTGTGCAATTTAATATTGACAATGTAGCAATAAAAATAGCTGGGGGCGAGCGTCTCACGTCAGCAGAAAAAACGAAAAACTTTGTTGACTTAGCACATCAACGAAATATATTAGCTACTATGATACAAAGTTTTGCTGTGGGTGATATTTGTCTAATCGGTTTGTACTTTCACATACTATCTTATTAAAAAACACCATTAAACTATGTTATATTATAGGTCAGAAAGGTGTTGGTAAGTCCACACTTACGAATCATCTACTGCATCTACTTAATCAAAGCGTGGAGCCCATGGTACTCTATGAGGATATGACATCTCGTGATTTAGTGCAACAACGCATTACAACAGTTGAAGGTGATACTATTTGGCGAGATTCACCACTTGTGCGTGCTGCCAAAAACGGTTCAGTCGCAATATTAAATGGTATACATCATTTGCATAAGAGCACAGCTACTGTTCTTCAAAGGTAGAAGAGTATAATTACCAGTTACTGTACTTAAATAATTTACTAAGTTATTTTTTATTTGCACAGATTAGTACACGATCGTGAACTGCAATTGTGTGATGGCACACTTTTATTAAGTCATGATCGTTATGATGCACTGCTCCAACAAGGCAACACAAAATTGCAATTAGCCGAAAAAGGCATATTAAAAATACATGAATCTTTTCGTGTTATTGCTCTGGCAGAACCACCAAATCCCAATTCACCTAAACAAAATTGGCTAACACCTGAAATGTTGAGTCTTTTCTTATTTGTGGAAGTACGACCGCTGAAACAATCCGAAGAATTTGAAATAATTAACAAACTCTACAGCAATGTAGACGATAGCATAAGTAAAATAATTAATTTATCACATAATTTACGTGAATCAACTGATGCTACCTTGGAAAGCTTGGCAGCGACATTATCAACACGTCAATTATTGAAAATAGCACGTCGTATGGCTGCATATCCTAGCAATAACAAAACGAGTCCACTTAATTCAGACTATGACATCATACAGAATACATTTTTAGCCAAATTTATGCCTGCTCTACCGCGTGCTGCTCTGGAAGATGCTATACAACACGCTGGCATCATACAAACTAGAAGCCATGGTGGTGCGCGACGTACGATTTCGATTGCAGGTGACGTATTGAAAATCGGTGATACAGAGATGAAGCTAATGGCAACCGATGAGCAAACTAAAGTTCCAAGCACACTTTTCTATGAAATGCCACAACATGTGGAGCTCTTAGAGCGTCTAATGCAGGTTGTTTTAACCTAATAAGAAACATTAAAATTTTTGTTAATTGGTACTTATATTGCAGGACTTCTTGATTGGTGACCATCTTTTATTGGTAGGTAATCAAGGTGTAGGCAAGAATAAACTGATTGATAAGTTGCTACAATTGATGAATAAACCGCGTGAATATTTACAATTACATCGTGACACGACTGTGCATAGTCTAACTGTGCAGTCTACACTACGTGATGGTCAGGTAGTCTACGAAGATAGTCCGCTTGTTAAGGCTGTTAAAAGTGGTCACATACTTGTCATAGATGAAGCAGACAAAGCGCCAGTTAATGTTACTTGCATACTACGTACACTTGTTGAAAATGGCGAAATGACATTATCTGATGGACGTAAAATAGTAGCTTCTGGTGATGGTGAAGCGGCGAGGGCTGAGAATGCAGCACAAGAAATCATTGAAACTCATCCTAATTTCCGTGTTATTGTTTTGGCGAATCGTCCAGGTTTTCCATTCTTAGGAAATGATTTCTTTGCATCTCTGGGCGATGTATTCAGTTGCCATGCTGTAGATAATCCTTCACCAGATTCTGAAATTTATTTGCTGCAGCAATATGGTCCGTCTGTACCTAGAAAAACATTAGCTACACTGGTAAACGCTTTTGGTGAACTGAGAAGTATGGCTGATGATGGTTTGTTAAATTATCCGTACTCTACGCGTGAAGTAGTTAATATAGTCAAACACTTGGAGAAGTTTCCCAATGAACCAATGTCGGAATTGATAGGAAATGTTTTGGATTTTGATAAATATCAGCCAGAAGCTTTGGAGCAAGTCACACAAGTGCTGGCTAAACATGGTTTACACATCGAAGCTTATGCGAGAAATGAGTTATTTGCTTTGAGGAAGAAGAAAGAAATACAGTTGACAGTGAATCGTAAAAGTGGTTTGGGTGTCTCAGGTTAGTTTTGTAAATATATTTAAATATTAATACATTTTTGACTAAATTCTGGCATTCCCTTATGAAGGTCCGAAATATGGCAAAGTAGATCCAAAGAATGCGCCGCATGTTGGCGGTAACACTTGGGCAGGTGGTAGCGGTGGACGTGATACTGCAGGTTTAGGTGGCAAGGGAGGACCATTTCGACTTGATGCCGGGCACAAAGTACATCAGTTGTCGGATGAAGAAAAGGATGATATACCGGAAGAAGTTAAACGAGCAGCACGCGAAATGAATCGTAAAGCCTTTGAGGAGAAATTAAAAGAAATAAAAATGTCTGCACATGACCATAAAATATACGCACAGTTCAGTGAACCCAATCGCAGGCAGGTGCAACAATTGAAAGCTGTTTTGGAGGCTATGCAAACGAAAAGCAAGGAAAGACAGTGGCAAAAATATCAGACACATGGTGAATTAGACGACACACGTTTAATTGAAGGCATTACCGGTGAGAAGAATATATATCGCAAGAGAGGTGAAGCAAATCCTTGGGCAGATCATGTACAGGAAAAACCCAATCGTTTGAAGTTGGTAGTGGATGTATCGGGTTCTATGTATAGGTGGGTGTATATATATAATTAACAACTTTATATTCTATTCACACATACTTAATATATTTTTAGATTTAATAGTTACGATGGTCGGCTTGATCGTGAACTTGAAGCTGTTGTTATGGTTATGGAGGCGTTTGAAGGTTTTGAAAAGAAAATTGTTTATGATGTTGTGGGCCATAGCGGCGAGGGTTGGGAAATACCATTCATAAATGCAGGCAAAGCGCCTAAAACAGATAAAGAACGCTTTGAGACTATACGTATGATGCATGCACATTCACAATTTTGCTGGTCTGGTGACAGTACGGTAAAAGCCACAAAGGAAGCCATTAATAGTTTGACAGAAGAAGATTATGATAACTCTATTGTGGTTGTTTTAAGCGATGCAAATTTATCACGTTATGGCATACAACCCAGAGATCTTGCAAAGGCTTTGATGAACGGCGAACCTAAAGTTAAAGGACATGTCATATTCATTGGCAGCTTAGCTGAAGAAGCTGAAGAGTAAGTGTTGTTTGAGTCACAAACTACTTGATTTTTAATCGTGTTTTAATTTTTTTTAGTATTAATATACAAATGCCTGCTGGACATAGTTATGTGTGCATGGATCTAAGCAAACTGCCACAGATTTTGAAACAAATATTTACATCATCGCTTTTGTAAAAATAATAACTGAGCTTGTTGAGAAATGCAGGAACAATCAATAGTCATTATAGTTAAGAGTCATTATTAATTTCTTCCATCTGTGAAGTACAATAACTACAATCATCATCTCTTCCACATTATCTTATCCCTCATTTGTGAAATAGTATCTTTTATCATCACGTCCCACAGCTAAGATCTACCTAATACGACGTTGGGGGTAGTTTTTATCCGCTATCATCGGTTACTAGTGGAGCCCAATGAGAGGTCACATCAATTATAATAACAACCATAAGGATAACAGTAACAATAACAACATTGGCAATCTTATTATACTCTATGTGCTTGAAAGATTTTAATTTAGACAATAACTTTCTATAGAAAGATATCGAGTTCAAGTTATTTATAGAGATTTTAAAACTAAATGAAAGTTAGGTAAATATTATAAATAGTTAAATATTTTAGTGATTTTTAGCTAGTACTTTGTATGTTTTTTGTTTTAATATATTTATGTTTTTCAACCAGATGTGCATTTATAGACGAATAAACATAAACAAACGAAAATTTATATAAATATCTATAAATAATATAGATTTTTTTAAATAAATATATTTTTAAATACATGCAAATATTTAGCATAAAAAATTTGTGATTTTTTAATAAAAGAACTTAATACGTTTCATTTAATAATATTAGTTTTTATTTAAATACTTTAAATCGATTAACAATAAACATTTATGGTTATATTTATAAGATAATCACATAACTTTAATCTATCACACTGTTTTTCACACACACAAAATATTATACTATAAGTACAATTTCTTCATTCATATCCGACAAGACATCTTCAACGAATATAAGACTATCAAAAACACAAAGTTTTCAATGGGATTTCTTAAACTTAAAAAGGAAAAGAAAACATATACGTTCATTTCAAAATAAATGAATGCAGCAATTCAACCGAATACTTAAGCTCCAATTAGGTTTCCTTATGTATTCTGCGAATTCGGTGGCACCACAACCCAACCATCCTCAGCAACAACCTCATTTTGACTTATCTGACGTTGATTTGGAATCGGAGTGGGAGCCACAGTATCGGTTTGCCCAGCACGCATTGTCTCCAGCTGCAGTTTCAAATTGTTATACAATTCCATGAGTTCTTCCTACAAAATATAAATTTTTAGTTTACTTATAAATCTTTATAATAATATACAGTGTTCGCTCAAAAAAGAAAAATTGAAGATAAATTTCTGAGAGAGCACTGTATTTTAACACCGTCTTACCTTTTCACTCATTTTTTTAAGCAATTCCTGCTTCTGTTCTCTTTCCTGTGGCGGCATTTGTATTAGTAGCTTATCCTTAAAATCCTGCGCGTAGTATAGTTTGGTATCGACTTGTAAATATTCTTTGGCTAAACGTCGGTGCTCGAGGTATATCTCTTGTGATTGTGAATTATTTGGTATGGGTGGTTCCGGCTGCAACTCAGGGTCCAGCATTTCGGCTAAAGACTGATCAGTGCCATCATTTTCATCTTCATCTGTTTCAACTTCGTCAGCGTGGTTAAGGCGTGAATTTCTATTAGGCAAATTGGCATTTGTTATCATAGGTTTGGCATCTGTGACGGTGAGACGTTCCTTGCCATCATTTTTGGCTGCAAAAGTAAAGTAGAATATGCTGATTAGGAAAGTATCTTTTTAAATATATTGTGTATATTATAAATAAAAAATATCTGAATGCCTACTATATATAATCCAGCAGTTGTGGAGATCTGTTTGCTTAGCAGAAATTAAGGCTGTTGTATCACACATTTTCATTAAGTTGTAAAAATATCATTAACTTTTATTGTATAAGTTATTTACAGTTTAATTTATTATATTTTTATATCTGCAATATATAATTCTATTAAATTATGTATATAACATAAGTATTAACAAACGATTGTTTTGTATTACTTATGGTACACATATATTTTCCATTTATTTCTAAAATGATTTAATCTTTTAAGATTGCAAGTTTTATTATAGACCATTTACATCTACGAGAACATTGTTTTGAAACAGAGGAAGGATTTGTAAATCAATTTTTTAATAAGTAAACGGATATATTGAAAGAACTAATGCTATATTACTGGTTTTACTGCAGGTCTGCAGATTATAATGGAGTGAAAAGTAGTAGATAAATATAACACGTACTAGATATATTCAAAGACTCGGGTATATTAGTTTATCAAGTGATAACAAGTGCTAGAACAACTGGTGGAATATAGGAACTGTGTGCGATAGCGCGTATCTCGATATATACGAAGACTTGTAAATTAGCAGTGGTTAGTACCATAATATATACAAAGTCTCTGGTAGATTAGTTAACGGTTTAAGTGAAATAAGTAAAAACAATTATTAGAACAAGCGGTGGGGCATACGATGGTGTGTACCTTGATATATCAGAGGACTCTGGTAAATTCATTTTGCCAATGTGTATAGAAAGAAATCTTTTTGAATTACGTATTACTATAACATACAGTATAGGTACATAATCTTAAAAAGACGTATTTATATAATAATATATTTTAAAATAAAACTTAAATTGCTGGAGTATACAAAATAAATCGTTAAACTTTAGTAAAGGTAATCATTATAAAAATTAAGTACAATATTTCATAAAATAGAATAGTTAGGTGTGACTGATTTTATTTAATTTACTTGTTAAACATTAAAACTAGTTAATAAAAGGTATTAGGGTATAAAGAGTAATAATAATAATATAATTCTTCCATAAATCTATCCAAAAAGGATCTAACTTAATTTATTGAAAAATCGATCGACTTTGGCAATTCAAATAATTTACATCAGATATTCATATAGATCTGCTAAACCATTTTCATATAGATTTCTTATATACGCCAGAGAGAATATCCAAGTATTCAAAGAATTTTTGAAATGGCACTGCAAGCTGAGGTACCATCTCAACAAAGTAGGCCGTTCTGTAATTGTCATTTTTGTGAAATAAATGTTCTAACGTCTGCATACATCTAATGATAATAAGTATAGCTTTGTAGCTTTTCTCGTTTTCTTCATTAAGCGTGGGGAATGAAAATTAGATCATACAAATTTATACGATCGGTTTAGAGAGTATTCGTAAAGTATGAATACACTACTCTATTGGCGCACTTATTTTCTGCGATGTATGCAATGGTCTCCAAAAACATCCAACGTTTTTCCACAATGTACACTATGTACGCTGAAGAGATCTTATAATTTACTCTATGCAGAATCATTAGTAAAATATTGATTTACCATTAAGAAAGTCAGATATTTCATATACGAGATATTCCAAATCATAAGACTTGAAATTATTTGAAATTTCAAATAATTTTTCTTTACACTCTTTCTTTCATATCATGGATTTTTTCCTACTATTCTATTAGGTTTTTTCTTAAATCTTAAAACAGACTGTAAACCCAATAGCACTGCATATGAAAATAAATTCCGTATACTTAATAATTTTACTATCGCAAAAGCTTGAGTTTCGATGCTTAAAACGACTAAGCATTTACAACATTACTAAGGAACTGGGATTAAATGCAGTAGTATTTGAAGCCATTTTCAACAAAGCTGTCTATAAGAAAACAGTTCCATGTTGGGTGCGTCATGACCTAAGTGTAAAACTTATGTACCATATAGTATATTCATATACGAATTCTTGTTAAAAAAAAATTAAAAAGCATTTATTTCAGTTTTATAAAGATAAGAACCAAAGAGTATTTGTGGTCCTAGTCAAAAAAATTGAGAGTTAAGGTATAAGAACTAGTTTAAATACTGTTGGAGAAGCTTGCCACTTCAATAGGACGAAGTAATAAATGGATAGTACTCAGATTTGTATGTGTTTTGGGGCTATCAAACAAATGATCAGTGTCGTGGGACCCAGAACTGCAGTTGGGACACACTTTGAAGATTGTTGTGTTTATGTGTTATAAATAACTGTTTAGCACATGGCCATATCCGGACTATAATTGAGCCGGGACAGTTCTTGCTGAATGTGGGAGAAGTTTTTTTATCGCCGGAGCTGGATTGATTAACATAGTTGTATTTAATTGAATTAAAGTATCATTTGAAGTCTGGAATAATTTTATTTTATTAAATATTTTTTTTTCATTCCGCAGTTTCTATCCTTAAATCACATTTAACGGGTTTTATATATAAAAATCCAGAAAAACGAAAACTTTTAAAAATAAATGGAAAATTTTGAATAATTTTTATGTAATATTTTTGAAAAACTATATATATTATTTTTTCTTTTTTGCATTTTACATTTTAGTTTTGTAATGGAGATCAATTTTAGCTAATCACTTTGTTTATGAATTTTTATAATTTTTTTTTCAATTGAGAAGAAGTAAAATTTCCATTTGCATTGCACTAATTTGTACTTTTGTGGAATAAAAGTAATTCAAGTATAAATTAATTTTTTTTTTTTTTGGATTTAATTTAAAGTATATTTTTTTAAGTGAAAAATAAATTTTTTTAAAAATGTTTCCGCACAAAAACTGTGTGTAGTGCGCATTCCGAAAGCGAAGATATTTTAAACAATAACACGGCGCCGTCCAATCTTAGACTGAGAACTGCTCATATGCGGGATACCCCAAATGCTCTGGAACATTGTATGAGACTGAGGCTGTGAGATGAATTTTGGGAGAACCTATTGATTCAAATTAAAAATGCTAAATGAAAGAGAACGAAATTAGCAAATGAATTTGCTAAACGATATAGAAATTATTTCGAACATGAGTACGCTTTTCTTAACGAATTATTTTTGACTATAGACACGAAAAAATTAGTTCGGCTACTGATTTCCGAGATTGTTTCCCACGGCACAGTGGGCGCAGTTTGAGGAAATAATTAATAAAAATATTTCAGAATGTTATGAATTAGTTTGGATTTTGGAATATTAAATTTTTTACTTTGGACTTTGGTACGTATAAAGGAATATTTGTAATTACACAATATCTGGAATAATTAGTACGTGGTTAAAAATAAATAAATTTTTAATAAGAAATAATTTTATTAGTCCCGGGAAGTTCTTTGATGATGTTGTAGCGAAGGCATTAGCTGCGTTCGTTTCCGTGATTACAGCAAGAAAATGGATATGTATGTAATAATGTCAAATAATTGTTTGCAAATCGCAGTTTAGAGTTTGTAATAGAACAAAGAATATTTTATTATAAAAATATTCTGTTTGTTATTTCAAAATATACGAAATTTGTTAAAATGCAAATTAATTTTTGAAACGATCCTGAAATATGTATAACATCGAACCCATCCATAATATAATGTAGGCGTTTATAAACGAATGTTTACGAAGAATGTTTCGCATTTGATGGCTTAAAAAAATATTCATGGTCGATCTGTGAACTAAGATAGGGCAAACTAGAGCAATAGCCGAAATTCAGAGGTATGTAGGAATAGGAATGAACGGGGTTCTAACTCCTAACGGAGTGGAGCACTGCGACCATGATTGAACTTTTGAGCTGCATGTAACAATAGATAAAACTTGAAGTTTTTACAAGACATCGAAATTATAACTGCCATTAGGACAGAAGACAGCTCATAAAAAGCGACCAAACGATCTCGTATGTAAAGAAAAAATATTGCTTTATATTTTAAATTTTTTTATTATAGAAAATATTAGAAACATGATTATAGAAAATATAAAGGGTACTGGCTCCCAGTGGAGTACAGCTCTGAGATCATAGATAAAAAAAATTCCACTAATCGAAAAGCATATTGTTAAAGAAATTCTAAGAATAGAATAGTAGCATCTCTCAGCGTAATATACTTAAAATGATCCATTTTAAAGCCGAAAAATTAAAAAAAATGTGATAGAGGTCCGTTTCCAAGGAGAGTTAACATTCTGTTTCTCAGACACATTTCATTTGTTCAGAAGATGACGTAGTTATAACCACATTTCAAATAACCTCAGCTCTATTCTGATGCATATAGACACATTGTCAAACGTAAGAATTAATTCTATAATCTGCGGAGATATTAAATTTCAAACCAGTAGTGGTTGATTTCGTTTACAAACGACTTTTGTACCAGAAACGTAATTGTGGATCAAATGATTCCTTGATAAAGCTTCGGTTCACAGAATTGTATAATTTATCTGTCGGCGTATCCAACAGATGTTATCCTTAGTCCTTAGATAGTTTTTAGTTTTTACTCTTTATTATTTATTCTAATAATGAATTTAAGTCATATATAAAACAATTGCAGTTTCTTAAAGATAATTTGTTCTTCAAGAAAAGTAGAAAACTGCTGAAGAGGGATTGATATGGATTTGTATTGGTGTGAGGTGACCAATCTTAAGTTTATTTTTTTTGAAATCTTTTGTTTTGTAATAATTAGACTTAAGATAGAGAGAATGGATAGATGTGTTATGCTTTGTTAAAGCTATTGTTTCTAACTTGACAAATATTCAGCAATATGTGCTATTTTTCGATAAGTCTAAATGTAAACATATTTTTAGCATATTAGACTCCTGTCTATAAGAGCCTAAAGTTTGATATTTGAAGTGCTCTTTCTTATGATAATTGTTATAGATTTTTGAAATCGTTAAGAAATTATTTTTATTTTAATAAATTGTTTAATAAGAGCGTCT